GAACACCCCGTCAAATGAACACCCCACCAACTCAACACTCCCCAACAACTACTACTATATATCAGACTAAGACACTAAACTAACTTATATATGTGTAAAGAACCTCCCCCCCCCTCTCTCTCTCTCTCCCTCCACCACACACCACAATACACATGCTATCCCCACCACACCACTCTCACCCCACCACACATCACCACTCTCACCCCACCACACACACACACACGTAAATATTAACCCAAACTAGAACACCAAACTCACCGCCATGATATCATCCCAGTGCTTAAAATAACGACCAGTGGCGGATCCAGGAGGGGGCAGAGAGAGGGGGGGGAGGGGGTGGAGGGGGTGTCATCATGCACACGTGACCCCCCCCCCCCATCCTTCCTTCCATCTGATGTTTATAATAGAAATAAATAGTCTCTTAATTCACCCCTTAGTCTATTATCGAATCCTTAAATGACAAGTAATAGGTGATTGGATCTTAATACTGTATACACTACAACACTTCACTTCAAAATACAATGAATACAACCAAGCAGATTATACAACACTTCACTTCAAAATACAATGAATACAACTAGGCAGATTATACAACACTTCACTTCAAAATACAACTAATACAACCAAGCAGATTATACAACATAACATTCCCACTCCAAAATAAAACTATAGCCAAGATTCTGACCCTAACAGACGTGGTAAAAAAGGGTGACAATCGCATACACTGTACTTGGCAGAGTTCCCAAAGCGAGGTTGTGTAGTTTTCCTCTCTCTCTCTCTCTCTCTCTCTCTCTCTCTCACAAGACCCTGACCTGGCCATCTTATGGTTGGAAGGAGGTGACAGGGGTGGATAGGAGGTGACAGGGGTGGATAGGAGGGTGTACGGAGGTGAAGGGATCCTAGTTCGTCCTTGACCCACATATCCTACATCAAGGAGGAGGAAGAGAGTACCCCTCATCTCCACCACTCCACCACCACCATCACTAATCACACAAACGATGGAGAATTGACTAGTAGTGTTGGTGTAAGCTGGTGAAAGATTTATATTATTATTGCTATTTTCTACATTATTTCTGCTATTTTCTACATTATTTCTGCTATTTTCTACATTATTTCTGCTATTTTCTACATTATTTCTGCTATTTTCTACATTATTTCTACTATTTTCTATATTATTTCTACTATTTTCTACATTATTTCTACTATTTTCTACATTATTTCTGCTATTTTCTACATTATTTCTGCTATTTTCTACATTATTTCTACTATTTTTTACATCATTTCTACTATTTTCTACATCATTTCTACTATTTTCTACATCATTTCTACTATTTTCTACACTATTTCTGCTATTTTCTACATTATTTCTGCTATTTTCTCTATTACTTCTGCTATCTTCAGTATTCTTATCATTATCTTCATATTAACATCGACAGCTTATCGTGTGGCGTTCATTCTGGTATCATGTAATAACACTCAAAACCCCTCCTCAACACAACAACAAAGACACTTCCTTCACCACACTACCACCACAACCATCACACCACTACCACAACCACAACCACAACCATCACACCACTACCACAACCATCACACCACAACCACCACCACCACTTTCATCCCCTCCTGCAGAAATTCTCTCCCATGACCCGTGACCCAGATTGGCTCATATAGTGCTATACTGAAGCTGGTGCGTGTTAAGTACTGCATTGAATACGATAGTGATGGCTAGCAATGAGGATAGTGATGGCTGGGTAATGAGGATAGTGATGGCTAGTAATGAGGATAGTAATGACTAAACAATGAGGATAGTGTATAAATTAAATAATTCATATGCTTAAAGTACAGGTATTCGCGTGCTGTGAATCCACCCCCCCCCCCAAATAACACCTTCCCCTCCTCCCACCCCCCAAATAACACCTTCCCCTCCCTCCCCTACTGTGTGCACCTCCCCTCTCACCCCAATACCACCTCCCTCCCCTCTCTACCCCTATACCTGCCTCCCTCCTCTCTACCCCCAATACCACCTCCCTCCCCTCTCTACCCCACACCTCCTCCCCTCTCTACCCCAATACCTCCCTCCCCTCTCTACCCCCAATACCACCTCCCTCCCCTCTCTACCCCAATACCACCTCCCTCCCCTCTCTACCCAATACCACCTCCTCCTTCTCTACCCCAATACCACCCCTTCCTCTCTACCCCTATACCACCTCTACTAATACCACCTCCCTCTCCTCTCTACCCCCTATACCCCTCCTCCCCTATACCACCTCCTCCCTCTCCCCTCTCCACCCCTACCACCTCTCCCCCCTCTCTACCCCCTATACCACCTCCCTCTCCATCTCCAGCCACACATCCCCCTCTCTCCCACTCATTGCTTGGCATGTAGGAGCATAAATGCGTCGTTAGCTGCCTACTGACATACTGACGAAGACAATACGCTCCCTCGTTGACATAAAGACTATATTTCCCCACTGTTGTCACCAGAAATAGCTCTTACGTGTGTTTAAATTGATTAACCTAAACGCTTGAGCAAATAGCACCAAGAATATTGTTTGTTTTTCTCGTGTGTGTGTGTGTGTGTGTGTGTGTGTGTGTGTGTGTGTGTGTGTGTGTGTGTGTGTGTGTGTGTGTGTGTGTCTATTTATCTCTACACTATGTCACTAACTTGCACCAATCCTAACCCAGAGGAGCAATGCCAAACTTGAACTTTTCCACAAAATATCCTTCACTGACTGTCTCTACCTCACCTCTACCTAATTTACTTATCAGAACTTTTTTTTTTCCCCTAGTCAAGTCGAGTTGTTTATTTACGACACGACACAAACTAACATAGACAGACACTACCCAACAGCGACTTACAATGCACTGATTCGGGATGAGAAAAATAGTGAAGTTTATGTGTTGTGGATTTCTACCGGAATATGGCGTTTTAGTCCTATTTGTGGATTTCTGCCGGATTTATCTGCTTAGGTGACTCGGCTAATGCAGACAGACGAAGTAGCGAGAAGTCTTGATCGTATTCTGGGTAAACAACATCGTATCTGACAGTACAGGACAAAGGCAGACAGTATCAATGCATTCCTGACATATTTCAAAGGCTGAGTCATCAAGGTCACGAGAGGGAGAAAAAGATAGAAATGAACTCTCAAGTCAAAAGCGGCATATATAAAGCTTAGGTCATCTGAAGAATCTATCCCAGCTTATTTCACCTAAAGTATCTTCATCCCAGCTTATTTCACCTGAAGATTAACCACCCTAAGGCTAACCTAACCTCACCCCCCCCCTCCCAAATAGTGTCAGGGTGGTTAAGCTTTAGGTGAAATAAGCTGGGGTGGAGCTTCGTTAAGAGAAATAAGCTGGGGTGGAGATTTTGTAGGTGAAATAAGCTGGGGTGGAGCTTCTTTAGGGGAAATAAGCTGGGATGGAGATTCTTTAGGTGACGCCATAGATATTTCAACTTTCCTTAGTACCCCCCCCCCCCTTACACCAAGACCTTGACTGAGTGAATAGTTTAATAAAAGACAAGATGATAAATGGCGTAACTGATACAAAAAAAAAACTCAATTACAGTTGTATAAGTTCTGGGCACGGCGTAGAGGTTTGACAGACAGTGTTAGGCCTTGAGGTCTAAAAGTGGCGGTGTGGCTAGCCCAGAGAGTGAACCCGCCACACACCTCCCTCATCCCGCCCACCCATTGGCTAGTTTCACGCCACCAAGGTTAGCTATTACGCCATCGGTCGAGTCCCCGCCGATAATGTGTGTTGGAGGGAAAACACGTCTGCGTTGTAAATGACCCGAGCAGAATATTTGATTTCGTTCTCGTCGCTGGCTAAGACCCGTAAACAAATTAGAATTGAGTGTGGTAAGGACCTAAGTGTGTGTATTGCGATGCTTAACTACGCTGAGAATTATTGTACAGTGTGTGTGTGTGTGTGTGTGTGCGTGTGTGTGTGTGTGTGTGTGTGTGTGTGTGTGTGATGCTGCGTATATCCCCATGTGTGTGTGTGTGTCATGGTGGTGTGTACAAAGTATTGAGTAAGAGCAAATCAACAGCGTCTGACGTTCCTCTCTTCCCATGAGAATACTTCGCCAAACGCACATTTCACCTGCGTGTCTGTTAGTATACGCAGAAGAGTACAGACGGAGGAAGGAGAGGATAAGGAGGAGAGGACAAGGGGTGTACAGTACTGCAACAGACAGATGACAAGGCATGTGTAGTAAAATGTATAGACGGGTGCCAAGCATCAGGCACTGTCCCGGGCGGAGAGTGTAGGTGTGCCACAGGTGGGGGTGTAGTGTGTGGGACAAAGTAGAGAGAGCTGTGTAGTACTTCCTTGGCTCTGTGTTTGGGTGTGCCACGTGGGCCAGGAACCTCGTGTCGGTGTGGGTGTGTGTGTGTATATATATAACCCTGTGTACACCACGTTGCACACAAGGGTGAATGCCATAGTGTACTCATATACATACTCTAGGTACACATAGCTAGTTGGTCAGGTGCCATGGTGCTTGAAAAAATACCCACAATGCAATATCGTAACAAACAAAATCCCATCAGCTTACATGTCTCCAGTCCTAATTACCCAGTTAGGTGAGGTGTCACTTTATCCCCGTGCTCAGGGTATGTGTGTGTGTGTGTGTGTGTGTGTGTGTGTGTGTGTGTGTGTGTGTGTGTGTGTGTTTATTTTTCTGGGCAGGTGTTTGTACTATGGGTTAGGTACATGGAATATTGACTTGCATAAAGGGTTGAATAGTGTACTAGTGGGTAAGACACATGGGGGTACATACATTTCTGGGTACAGTATTTACTCTACGTCATATACATCGAATACCGAGTGTACAGTTGAGGTCAAAAGTTCACGCCCTCCCAAAATGAAGCAGCATCGACCCCAAACGAGATAAGTAATGGTAAGTCATTCCGGAGACACCCCAAGACTCAGTTTCACCACGAGGAGCGAACTTTTAACCCCGACTGTACATGAGAGGGCGTGTACATTACCTGGGGTGTACAGGGGTCCAGTCCTCGGTATCATCAGACTCAGGCCGGGGTACACGGATCTCTGGCCAGATGCTGTGGACCCATTGCTGGTGCAGGAAGACAGCCAGCGCCCCAAGGCTCACCACGAAGTACACCCGCAGCTCACTCCACACCACCAACCTGTTGACACAATAACACAATGTAACACAATATCAACATTAACATGTAACACAATAATACCTCCTGTACAAACACTGGATAGAGCGCCCAAACGGCTATTAAGCTGATAAGTGGCGAATATGATATAACATAACAATACTGTAACACCATGTGACACAATACTCTCACACTACTAACATGTAACACACCTGTAATTAGGAACACTTCAATGTTACAACACCAGATACCTGTAACACAATAACTTTAGATGTTATAGCCTACACCGCTTGTAACGCAACACACACACACAGGCATCAAAACAATCTAAAACACATAATCCAACCAACTTTATAATCACAGTTTATTCTCGAGATTGAGCAATGAAAATAAGATGGCTGTCTGACCACTTTTTATGCCCCCAAGTTTCACCGAGTGTTTCATGACTATTTACTGCACATCATCCTTCAGTAATCAGTATTCTATATTTTTGTGTCTGGTGAAAATGGACGAGAATTTATACACCGTCATGGTTAACACACACAGGTAAGGTCAGGGTGATATCGAGAATTTCCAACAATATAATTTCCCCAACACAGTTCCTAAACTTAATAAATACTTACCTTAGTTTCGAGAGGTATTCATTTTAATTATAAGTATCATTACAATTTTGCTTTATAATATGAATGAGATATATTGTGTAGTGGTTTAAATAAGGTGACATTTTATTACACTGCATGTACACTTCTCAATCACGTTAAATTTGAGTTACTCCTGTATTTCCAAGCTCCTAGTCTATTTCAAAAGGCATCTAGCAATAGTATCATAATTATCTTTCACTTTATTTACAAAAAAAAAAAGTAAGAAAAATATCACACAATGCACAGTTTATTAAATTATCGAACACAGAGAAAGTTGAGCTGCGAATCCTTGCCTCCAGCACCACACGTATCTAGAACAAAATACGGACAGACGTGAAGCAATGAAGAGGAAAACTTCGGCTGAAACGAAGTCACGGTACTAACAGATGATCACCTTGCTCCACTAACACCAGATCCACGCAGAGATCTCTAAGTGAGGTCACTGCTCGTAAAAATCTACATCGGGTCACATCTGCCACCTTAAGATTAACACCCGTTAGCTTATTATTTCACCTTGATTCACACCCTAACCTAACCTAACACCCCCAGATAGTGTTGTTTATGGTATTCATCCAAACTTATGATTTAAACTATAAAAAAAACATCATTTCATTTATACATCCACAAACTTAATTTTTTTTCTCACTGCTAATTAAATACTCCGAAGGTTTTCCCTAAGCTCTGGAAATCAGCCAAATAACAATCGTAAAATGAACCCAAGAGCTATACAATAAAACCTTCAGAGTCTCGGCATTTTTTCCCTGTGCAAGAATTTTATCAACACAAAAATAACAAGAATAATGTTTACTTTATAGAATACCTTTTTTTTTTGGGTGCCATTAACGTAAGGTACAGAATCAATGTGATTGGTTGTTTACGAAGATAGTAAATGAGAGTAAACGTTGCTTCGAGAATAGATTAATCCCTACTACTACTAATGCTGTTAATAGCTAATCAATTTCAACATTAATTATTACCTTGAGGTGATATGGGATACTCTTTATAATAAACATCAATCAACTCTCTCTTATCACCAATAATGATAATACCTCTTCAAATACCACAATAGTTACCTCCGAATGATACCGCGTACTCTTGAAAATAAATAAAAGTTACTCGGGCTTTTAAATCCACCACGTACTCTTGAAAACAAATAAAAAGTTACCCGGGTTCAAATCCAGTCATTCTACTCAGCAGGAGATGACCACTGCAACCCTAAGACTATTACAACACACACACACACACAAGACCTCATCTCACCTGATACCTCAAGGTGAACCCATACACAAGGGGTTAAATAAATACTGTAATTTATATTCAAGATACAACAAAGTACTGTACATGTATCATACTGCCAGAACAGCTTAATGGGGGTCAGTGAGACGAAGAATACTTTCAACTGACTGATTTTATTCACCTCATGATCAAGAGAGATGTAGAGGTATGCAAAAAAGTAAAGTTGTAGTTGCTGTTTACAATTCCCCCTTCAGAAACAGGATGGTTTAGGGGAGTGAGAAGAACAACTCTCTCATAGGCTGTAAATTCAACACAAAGAACAAATCAATATACCAATGCACAAGACAATACTTGACCCACTAATCATAGGTGACAAAATAACAATCAAATGGCTCACAATATTAAACAACTTTTAAAGGTCATCAAGATCAGTTTCAATTTAATACTAACTTTCACAGGAGAAGAATAATTTAATTAGAAACAGTACGGGAAAAAATCCTCGATGAGAGTGAGGAAATGAGACTAGGTCGTATTATGTTCTTCGGGACGAACCGGTACCTTTTCAATGGAACAATATACCTGTACAGTATCATAACCAATGTACTGTACAGGTTGTTCCAAAAGCCTCTGTGTCCCGGCAATAATTAACAATATACTGTGTAGTTAATGACCTCGTTCTGCTTACAATTAATGTTGGATGTGGATAACGTTTACTCTATTGAAGGTGCATAGACTTTTGGATCACCCTGTACACGACGACCAAATTACTAATGGAGAAAGAAATGGGGCATAAACTACGGTATTGATTTCTTGAAAGAGCCGACCACTGGCGAGGTTTGCAAAGGTCACAGCATCAAGACAATGAAAAAAGAGGCACAACAAATTACTGTAGTTTATTGTGAGTGATCGGCTAACCAGAACCTCCCAGAGTTTGTTTATTTCTACTCGTCGTCTCACCATTTATCAGTTTACTAGCCATGTGTGCGGTCTGGTCTTTGTTACTGGGTGAGCTTTATTGCCTAGTGTTAGTACAAGAGGAAACTGTAGTATCAAAAGAAAACCTGCCATCATTGGTAATGTCACACTGCCTTGATACTGTACAGTGAAGCCTCTATTTAACGGTCTACAGGGAGAGGAAAATCTGTTATATCAAGGGTATATTAGATGTGAAACCTCCCTCTAACACACCATAGTATAGAGATGAAAGTCCATTATATCAAGGGTCCATTACATGTGAAACCCCCATTTAACGGAATATATGGAGAAAGACGTCCATTATATGGAGGTTTCACTGTATTATATAATGTAAGTCATACGAAGAAGACTGCTGTACCAAGGATCGCACAATGACTCAAAAATTATTTACAAAACCCTAAACAGTAATAATATAAACAGACCTGATAAGAATAGAAACATCATGGCATGTATATAGACAAAGCAGTTACAGTAGTTATGCAGACAATGCAGTTACCGGTATGCAGTGCACATCGACCATGCAGTTATACAAATTTCTGATGTACAGTCACCCAAAAAAGTCCTGTCTCGAACCACGAACCCCGAGATTCAGACTCATGAACCCGAAGCAGTAGACACTGATACATTATTCTGTCGATAAATGCTTCGGATTCAAGAGTCTGAATCTCGGGGTTCATGGTTCGCAACAGGACTTTATTGGGTGACTGTACATAAGACAATGCAGGTATACAACAAGAGTAAACAGTTAAGTAATCTGACTAAAAATAGCCAACAAAGACATCAGATACATTTTTCTAGAATAATAAAACAAGCAAGTGAAGACGACATTCATCCGAGTCAGGTACAATTAATAGACCACAAGGGGCTTCAACTCTGCTGCCAAAAACTGACAGCATGACACAGCCCTCACACCACCCATTCCCTTACCTAACATTCATAGCTACTGCATCTCACTAAACACTTGACAATCACCCCCCACATTAATTCACTTCAAGTTCAACTAACCTTACACTAACCTACCCTAACATAACCTATTCTAACCTGACCTATGTTAAACTAAAATTAACCTACCCTAACTTGATATTAATTTATGCAAACCTAACATACATGCTAACCTGTATAACTGCATTGATTATATACATGTTGAAATGTACTGTATAGCTGCAATGTCTATAGGCAGTACACACTGAACCAAATGTACACTTCAATGACGATTTTACTAAATAAATACCTACCTCTATAAATTTTTAACAATAATCCTAAAGCATTGAGATTTTATGAAAGATTAATACAGTACAGTATATAAAGTACTGTATTCACATCTATACGCCCTGTAACCTATGTATCTGTCTACTTCAACTAACATTACAAAAACAGGAATTAATGGTATGAAGACAAGTGATGGGAGATTCTATTACAAAACTTTATCTCAGGTTTAAATAATAACTCTAAAGTCACCTGTAGTTTATGCATTGTCACAGAGGTCATTGCACTGTGTAGTATGTGTGGCATTCCTTGGGTTACATCATGTAAAGTTTAGCCCAGAACTTGTCTAACCTGTTAAGTTCTTCATGGGTATAATTATTATGTGTACCTGTAGTATATCTTGTATTCTTACCAAGTTTACCCTTTTCTCAATTTAATGGGCTATATGGAGATAAAAGTCCATTATATCGAGGGTCTGTTAGATGTGAAACCTCCCTCTAATGGATTATAAAGATAGAGAAGTCCGTTATATGGAGGGTTCACTGTACAGTATGATGTGGTTTGTACATTACCAATACTGCAGCTTATTTGGGTAATGTCAGATGATTTTAATCAGTACAGGGGGGGATCCCATACACAAGGGGTTAACAATATAAAAAAAAAAAAACTAAACTATGACTTCAACGAGGATAAATACCTGAAGGATGGCTTGAATTCATTAGACAGTACTCACTAGTCTGTCCTTGCTAAAATTAGACAGAGACAAGGCTATTTTTTAAGTGTGGCTGGAGGTACAGAGGCCTTGACCTAATTGTTTCTTTAGTACATTCAATGTTGTTACTTCTTTGCCCTGCCTTGGGATTTATATTCATTAAATTAAAATAATACAATTCCATTATATCCCCATATTTTTTTAAAGAATATATCCTATATATTTTACAACAAAGCCCAACCTAACTTAACCTACTCTTGGTACCAATAAAAATAATGGATTAAGGGAAATATTCACAGCCATTTATCCATAACCTCATGTCCCTCTCAAGCTTGACTCGATCTTCACTCCAAATATCCAGGTGAATCATTTATTAACACTGATTTAAAGCCATATTTCAGTATTAACAAACAGAGAAAGGTTCGTATACATCAAGTGACTTTAACACCTTGGCTCCATATATCAAGATAATGGAAATAAGCATCTGGTAATTTTGTTGGATAATATACCTGCATTAACTACATACATGTTACCTGTATACCTGCACTGTGTATAATATGTTCACTGTATAGTACTTACATTGACCATATACATGCTAACCGTATATATTTTAACTGTACCTACATTGTCTATGTATATGCTAACTGTATACCTGTAGCCTGTATACATCTTAACTGTACCTACACTGTCTAAATACATGTTAACTGTCTACACTGTCTATATACCATACATGCTGAACAAATAGTAAACACATACGATGATTTAATACAAAAAAATCCATCTATCTCAAACAGCGTAACAGAGGGGTTTTAGTTGACCCAGAACAAGGTATTAGTGTAGGAACATAAGAAAATAAGGAGTCTGCAATAGGCCGGTTGGCCTGTGCATGGCAGCTCCTGTCGAGAGTTACTACCACTCTCTATCATCCATGAATTTATCTAGCCCCCTTTTAAAACTTTCCAGCGTTCCAGCACTTACTACAAAGTTGCTAAGCTTGTTCCACTCGTCCACCACCCTATTTGTGAACCAGTCCCTTCCTATCTCCCTCCTAAACCTAATCTTATCCAACTCAAATCCGTTGCTACGAGTCCTATCCTGCTCGGATATTATAAGAACCTTATCTATATCCCCTTTATTGATTCCTTTCACCCACTTAAATACTTCTATCATACCTCCCCACACTCTTCGTCTTCTAGGGAATGCAAGTTTAGTCTCACCATTGATCACCAATTACCCCAACACTGCAGAGGGCTGAAACTCTCGACCTGTGGCCTCATTCTCTTTAAGTTTACTACAACTTTAGTCTTCCCTCACGACTTACTACAGCACTGGGATAACAGGTGATTAGCTGATTTAGTTCTATATACCAGGTGAGATGGTGTGGGGTTATGGTTGTGTGTCAGGTAACCACGTGTTGGGATGTAATCATAACAAAGGCAACATCAGTCTTTCTCACTTACCAGAAGAGAACGTTCAGTCCCACTACAGCCAGGGAGCTCGTTCCTGGGCTTTCCCAAATAAGAATGGACTGTAGGGTCACCATATAAGCCTCCCATGGTCCCAACACCCTCGTTATTTTCCTAGTTTCCGTTTTCCTGCCACACTGAGAAGGAGGACTGTCAGTGGTATCACTTTTAAAGGGCCATAGCTTAAGAAACATTGACTTCCAGGAAGCCATGACTGTTGTATCACACGAGCAGACGAACACTGACTGAGCTGCGCAGATGATGATGACTTGTTGGTGGTAGAAAACGGGGGTGAAATATTCTCCTGGCTAGACCTGCAAACACAAGTGAATAAATAACATACACAGTTTATTTGTTTTCTATCATACAGTGATGATTAACGTTCGCTTGCTTCAATGTCTGGGTCATTATGTTCTTTTTTGGGAGGGGGAGGGCTGTCTCAATTGTTTATTTAGTGAATCTTGGTGTTATTTATATTCTCGTGGCCAGACTTGCAGACATTAATGAATAATATATGTTCGTTTTCGTTCATTCAGTGATGATTAACGTTTCCTCCATTGTCTCTTAAGATATGACCGTTAATGGCATTTCTCCTGACATCTGTGACGGGAGACCAATTGCATCATTAGACACGTCAAGTATGCATTGACGTAATACTCTCTATCTCAGAACCAGATCTTAAAAAATATTGACATGATATAACCTAACCTTCCCTATCTACTGTGTGGACGTAGGTGAGAATTATTAATTTATATGACGACCTGACTACATTAAGACAAAGGCAAGTGAACGAATTATCATTGTTTACATCGGGATGTTCTCCACCAATCAGCTGACAGAAGAACAAAAACAAACCGATAAAAGAAAACGGTAAATATAATAAGGGTAACTATAAAGGTCAGGGGTAAGTTGATAAATATATATTCCTGCTTTATTTTTACTTTATCCTCGTCGCCACTAATCGGTCTATTCGGTTATTTGGTGGTCGGTCACGTCTCTTTTACACACTGCTGGCAAGTATTGGCTATCTCGTGTTGAGTGTTTATAGGTAATGGTCATGTGCTACCTCTGTTACACACTCTTGCCAAGTGATGGGCATGTACTGGCTTTGTTACACACTGTTGGCATATACTGGCTCCATAATATATTTGTACCTGCGCCAGTGTTGGACTTGGTTGAGCTCAGACTCGGTGACTGTGGTAGATTGTTCCAAGATTTCACAACCCTCACCCATAAAGTTTGCTCTCACAGTTTTCTGAACCCATGTCTTCTTCAACCTTAAACTGAGTAATCTCCTCTGTGGTTCACTCTTACGGACTTATATTACTCTAACATAACCTTCACCAAACATTAACGTAACCTTAGCTTATTTCACCTGAAGATTAGGCACCGTAGTTTATTTCAAACGAAGATTGGGCACCCCAGCTTATTTCAAAAGATTGGGCACCCCAGCTTATTTCAAAAGATTGGGCACCCCAGCTTATTTCAAAAGATTGGGCACCCCAGCTTATTTCAAACGAAGATGAGGGATTTCAGCTTAATTCACTTGAAATTGCCTAGTTTACTTTTTTACCTTTATCCTCTTCACCACTGATCGGCTCGTTAGCCGCTTGGGAGATCGGTCACGTCTCTGTTACGCTCTGTTGGCAAGTACTGGGCATGCACCGGCTCCTGAATGTACCTGAACCTGCTCCAGTGTTGGTCAAGTCTGGTCCTGAAAGAGCTCACACTCGGTGCCGTCACAACACTCTGGCAGATTGTTCCAAGAGTTCACAACTCTCACTCCGTAAAAGTTTGCCCTCAGTTTTCTGGACTTGCGGCTTCTTCAATCTTGAGCTGTGACCCCTTGTGGGGCGAGCGTCCGCCAGCTTCAGGTAAGGACACTCGACTGAGTAGTGCCCCTTTAGATGCTTATACACCTCAGTTCGGTCGCCCCTTGCCCGTCTGTAATATAAGCTAGGCAAGTTCAGGCGCTCCAATCTCTCAGGGTAGCTGAGGTGCCGAAGTGCAGGCACCAGTCTGGTGGCCCTCCTTTGAACATTTTCAACCAACTGACACTTCAGACGGGCAAGGGGGGGACCAAATTGAGGTGCATAAACATCTCAAGGGGCACTGCTCAGTCGAGTGTCCATACCTGGAGCTGGCAGACGCTCGCCCCACAAGGGGCCACAGCTCAAGGTTGAAGAAGCCACAAGTCCAGAAAACTGTGAGGGCAATTTTTTTCAGAGTGAGAGTTGTGAACTCTTGGAACAACCTGCCAGTGTTGTGACGGCACCGAGTGTGAGCTCTTTCAGGACCAGACTTGACCAACACTGGAGCAGGTTCAGGTACATTCAGGAGCCGGTGCATGCCCAGTACTTGCCGACAGTGCGTAACAGAGACGTGACCGATCGCCCAAGCGGCTAACGAGCCGATCAGTAGTGAAGATAAAGTAAAAAGTAAGATTAGGCACCCCAGCTTATTTCACCTGAAGCTTAGGCACCCCAGCTTATTTCACCTGAAGCTTAGGCACCCCAGCTTATTTCACAAGAACGGAAACCAGTTTAGGTGTAAGGAATGGTAGGTGAAAGGTTGTGCTTTGTGTTGGGTCGTTTAAAAGGGGTAATTTTGGTGATCAAGCAACATATATTAACCTAACATAACCTTAACGAGACAGCCTTAACCTGAAATAACATTAATATATCCACAATACAGTATTAACCTGAAATAACATTAATATATACACAATACAGTATTAACCTGAAATAACATTAATATATACACAATACAGCCTTAACCTGAAATAACATTAACCTGGCAGCATTTAACGTAACATAATATTTAACCAAGTTTAGTATACACACGTACAGTCTGGTATAGTGTACATAGCTTAAGAAACCCATCATACGCTATGTTCAACAAATAAATAATATACTGAAAAATAAAAATGGCAGTGTATAAATATTCTGTAGTGAGAGTATATTTGCAGAGGAGCCAAGAGTCAGTGATAAGGAGTCCGAGAAAGTTGAGTCATCCCTTTTTTGGCCGAGTCAGTCAGTTGTCACCGGCTACACCTCACTGATGCTGACACAATCTCCATAACATTTGGTCTCTACCTTACCTTTGAAGCCAAGATATATAATTTGGAACTCGTCTAACACTCTTGTCACCATATTTAACTTGTTGGCATATAATCCATGGTCGTTCAGGCACTTGCGTCCTTAAATGTATGGGTCAAGAAAGCAAGCATGACCTCCGCGTGCTGTCCTAATGGCCACTCTAATCGCTTCAGCACAGGTTGCAAGGAGGTACACAATAAACTAGCCCCCACTCGGGAAAAATTTGAAATCGTATAAAACATTAGTTTGATGAATGTGTACTGTTAGATAACTAGTATAATATTTATATAAGTATAATTGGTGAAATTATGAATAAAAATAACTTAAATAAAGCTTACAAGATAATTATGAATCTCACATCACTGTGGTAAGATTAACTAGACAGTACCTCACTTTCTAGGAATAATCTTAGACACTTGGCATTTCACCATTTACATAATATAATTGTCTTTTAGTATATATGTGTGTAAGGTGATTTCACATACAGTATATACTGAAATTGTAGGGGCATGGTGTCTCGCTGTGGATGATTCACTATAAAAACTGAGGATTGGAATGTACTAGAAAATCATTAATATGCCATGTTCATTTTATATGTATAACTGAGTTACCAACATGTGTTATATAGCCACCCCGCGGTACTGTGATATGAGTAAATACGTATAGAACTAACTATAAACATTATCTATACTGTATTTCAGAATAGAGTGCAAAAGGTATATGAAGAAGGAAATTATAAGTGAAATCACATGTTGCAATATATACAAAACCCAGTAGTATATAATAAAATCATATATATTATAATCTCCCATATATGTAGTAACTATAAAGATTCTATATATGTCAAAATAAATATAACATGGTATAAAGAAGGGAGATATATAATAAGTAGTATAATGTGTTGCAATAGGAGTATATGAGGAAATAAATATTGAGTGTGTAGTCCCTCCTGCCATCAGCTGCCGCCACTGTAAACACTGGCTGGTCTTACTCAACACCACACCTAACATAACTAGCCTTTAAAATCAATTCCAGGTGTGTATATTACCTCTATTTCATCCACAATTACCATGAAACAAAACTGTATATGTTAATTAAAAGGTATTTGTATTTAGTAGTTTATTATTTGTGTTAATTGGTATGTACTACAGTTAGTTCGTCTCTTAAGAGTATGTTACCGTATTGTGATGTAGGTAATTGTGATTTTTTTGTCTAATTATTGGTGATTTTTGTTGATAGTTTTGTTATTTGAGGACTTATTTTACTGTTTATGGGTGTTATATTATTGTTATAAGTTATAGGATATGATAACTTAAAGAAAGGATTTATCAAGGTCGTTAAGAGATGGTGACCTACTTGGAGAGGTTAAATTTATTTGTTAATATTCTGGTCACTTCAGGTTACAGTGATGTGGTACACGTGTTGGTGAATCCATGTATTTCCTAAGTAACATTTATTTTTTGGATGTAAATAATTTGTGATGTTTTATTTTTGGTTGGATTTTTTAAGTATTACTGTATGTTGTATTTGTATTTTTATCTGATTACTGTAGTTGGCTTTCGCAGTGACAAAAGAAATATTACCAGGTTAGATTTTAGCTGCCATGATCCACAGAGCAAATCCACACTGACTGCATTTGTTAATTGAGATATATTACAGTGAAACCTCCATATAACGGACGTCTTTCTCCATATAATTCGTTAAATGGGGGTTTCATATTTAACGGACCCTCGATATAATGGACATTTATCTCTATGTAGTTCGTTAGATGGGGGTTTCATATTTAACGGACCCTCGATATAATAGATTTTCCTCTCCACGTAGTCCGTTAAATAGACGTTTCACTGTATTGTAATTATTATTGTAAGTTTTGCCTTATAGTCAAAGGCTTAACGGCCATACCAACTTTCAGGAAAGGTTTGCCATACATTAACTTGATGTCCAGTCACTTGGAAAAAAGTCTCCGTCAGTCATAAGCCCTGAGACTCATGAACCTGTAAATCCAAGTCATGACACAGTGTTAGGTTCATAGGTGATGCACTGTATGGTGTCTCGGATTCACAGGTTCACGAGTCTCAGGGTTCATGGATGGGACGGAGGACTGACAGGACCTTTTTCCATTGTTGTCTATTAAGGTAAATATTGTAGTGGAAATACTGAAGAAAACAAACCATAAGGAAGGTAATGATTCTTACTTAACAATGTTCTTTTTTTTTTTGACCAATTCATTGATTTATTTATTTTTATATATGTGATAATAATAAAATTTCCAGACTTTTTTAATTTACAGCCAATAAAAAATATCGACCACCCTGCCGTGAGTAACAATATGAAACATCGTGCAAAAACTATTAACATCTACCTTGGGGTGGTCGATACTTATTTGTCTGACTGTACAAGGAAGATCAGGATAGTCTGTGTCAACAATTTCAATACAGAACGATAATAATTACAATAATTAATGTGTGTGTGTGTGTGTGAGAGACTGACTCTACAATACTGTACTAAGTCATTTATGATAGATAGTACAAGTAACCAAACCAAACCTAACTAAGTTTGTCTTCCAGGAGGGGCTGAGAAGATGTCGCTTGACACAGAAGAGCAGGATGATGAACTCCTTGCCTTGGCCAGCATCTACGAGGACTCCTTCACATCAGTACAGGACCAAGAGGCCGACCCAACGGAAACACAGCAGGACTTTAGTCGAGGGGGAGAGTTGGCCATCTGTCTTGAGCTGCCTCCAGAATTTGGCCTATTGACAAGGCACAATGGTGATAATGGTACGTCTCTTACGCTGGAGGACTGCAAGTGTCTGCAAGTCCTGACACCAACACTCTCCTGTACTGTATAAATTTCTTCTCCTTTTTTATTTTTCTCTCCCTTTTACTTCTTCCCCATTTTCTTTCTTCATTTGTTTATTTACTCTTCTGGGTGTTGTGTTACTTTATCAGCTATGTTGTCCAGGTGTAACACAGTGCTGTACATGGTGTTGAGTGACATCTGGGATTATGTGCCTCTTTACTATGAACCTTCTCTTGCAGTACAGTCATATTCCCTTTGCTTGAATTATGTGGAAAAGATTCTCTACCATGAATTAGTCTCCTAACTGGTTCCAATATTGAGTCTCAGTATAATTCTGATAATATAATATTTTTGTATTTTATCTTAAATAAATTCTTAAAAGTTTATGAGGGACATTTAGTATTGGAATGTCTGTGAGTACATTTCTTAACTGACTCAATCACCGAGAGAACTTTCCAACCGACCCACGATGAGGCTATGTACGGTCGCATCATGGTCATCACTTTATATTAATGTGTTTATTTCTTGCAGGTGAGATGCAGGAACAGAGACACGTGGTGGAACACTTGCCGCCCATCTACCTTCACTTCACCTACCCGGCCACTTACCCCTCCAAACACCCTCCAAGTTTTACCCTCTCCTGCAAGTGGCTTAACAGATCTCAGGTACGTAGTGCTTGAGTTTGCTGACGTTTATCATTGTACTCAAAGGGTTAATTCATCTTACTTGAGGAGTAAAGTCAATGTACTCAAGGGTTTAAATTGTCATACTGAAGTGGTTAAATAATTGAACCGTCATATATATATACCCCTGCATATATGCAGCAGAGTAAAATACAGTACATCATGTCTCATAGGTTGTGCACAGATCACTTGCAAAAGAATTCTGGCAATAACACCCTGGCGTGTGTGTGTGTGTAAGCATTTGGCTCTCCGTACTTGCATATTAAACTGACTCTTGCCTCCAGTGTTAATTTCTCTTCCATTATTTGTCCTATGGCAGCATTAAGGTCTTTAATCATGAGGTGAAAGAAACTGGGATGCCTAAACTTTATGTGATTCAAAACTCTTTTTATTTTCTGTCTGGGCTGCATTATAACTCTCTTTATCCTGTTACAGTTGACTCTTCTCTGTCAACAACTGGATAAATTATGGGCAGAAAATGAAGGCTGTGTTGTGATGTTTACCTGGGCGCAGATTCTCAAGGATGAGAGTCTCGATCTCCTCGGGTTGACAGACACACTGGACCTGGATAACATAAGACCCATTCGGCAGCCAGCTAGTGTAACAAATGACTGTGGTCTGGTGGCAGCTGGTAATGGCCATGGGGACACTTGTGGTGCTATCAGTAAATCCTTTGGGGATGTGACATGTGATAATAGTGTGAGTGATAGTAATAATGGCGGTGGTGACAGTGATGGCGGAGCTTCGAGTCTGTCCCTGTCCAGACAAAATAGTCAGAACTACGACAGTCGAACTATTCAAGACATTGCTCCTAAGACGAACATGCTGAGGCTCCTTAGAGATTATGATGAAGAGATGAGAAGGCAAGTGTTCGGTACTAAGAATTTCGAGTGTAAGGTTTGTTTCGCTGACAAACTCGGGACGAACTGTTTGGAGTTCTGGCCGTGCCGACATGTTTACTGCAAGGACTGCATGGCGTCGTACTTCACCGTGCAGATCAGTGAGGGGAATATACAGTTCCTCAGATGTCCCGAAATTAAGTGTGACTCTGAGGCTAATCCTAAGCAGGTGAGATATATAGATAGATACGATACAGAGAGAGATATATATATATACATAGATAGATATGCATGTACTGTATATATTCATAAAGTTATCATAGAAATTTACAGTATTTCAGCCTGTTTATAGATACTGTACTATAGATATATAATAGAATATTTAGTCTGCAGGTATAAAAACAATGTGACTAGACGGTGCAAGTATTCAAACACTATCTGAGGGGCGTTGGGTTAGGTTAGGTTAGGTTAGCTTAGCCTTGCCTTATGGTAATCCGTATATTCCTTAATACTGGATTAAAATGTTACGGGATTTTTGCAGGTGCAGGAGTTAGTTCCCGAAGACCTGTACCAGAAGTGGGATCAGATGTTGCTCAACTCTACGCTCTCTTCTCTGGGTGACATTCAGCCCTGTCCACGTTACCACTGTCAGTACCCTGTCACCATTGAGGAAGGGCAGGGGCAGTGTCCCTCCTGTAAATTTGTCTTCTGTGGAATATGCAGGTAAGATCCGATATTCTCTTTTTTTCTCCATTATTATTTAGAATGTATATCTAGTGGGTATTTGTTTGTGTATCCCAGATGTTTCAATGATTCTTCAAAGCACTGTCCTTTATATATGAGCGATAGGGGTTGGGTGTAAACGGGGCTGCCAATAGGCCTGCTGCAGTTTCCTCCATTCTTATGTTCTTATCAATATTTTTCTAGGGGTGATTTAGTTGAAGTTTATAAGCACCTCAGAGTACATTAAATACTCATTCAAGTTTATATATGTGGAGCTAGCAGATTGACATTCCCTAGAGGTTACAGCTGCAGTTTAAAGAAGCCACAAGTACAGAAAATCGTCAAAAGGTAACCATTTTGGAGTAGCAATTATGAGCTGCTGTAACGACTTGCTAGACAGTGTTGTGACAGCTCATGTTCAGGCACGTCCTAGAGCAAACACACGCCCGGTATTTGTCAACAATGCATAAAAGAGACATGACATGAGCAGTCAGTAAGTCAATGTCTACATTCTAAGGGGTGACATCTCTTCTAATGCATAAAAACTTTGAATCTTCCTTTATTCTCACAAGTCCAAAAAGCTACACATAACTGACCAGGTAGATTATAAGCTAAAGAACTCTTCCTCTTAGTTTATGTAGTGGTTAAATGAAACAGCTGCCTTTTACTATTAAATTAAGAAAAGATATGAAGATTTTAAACCCTATTGACAGCTAAAGATTCCATTCAACCTCCATATATACACAAAAATGGAACGTGAGGAACATGAAACGTCCTAAGTGCCTCAGTTACTACAGTTTCATAAAAGACTTGTCACATTAAAAGAAGACGAGCATCCCCAGATTATTTCACCTCACGATTATACACCCAAATGATACCTCCAAAGGTTAGATTAGATTAAGTTAGGATTGGGTGAAAAAAGCTGGGGTACTAATCTTCATATGGTTATTTTTGATAGAATTATACCTTAACCCCTTCACTGTGGGGACCCGACCTTTAACATTCTATTTTGGTAACACCAGACGATTTTATTCAGCACAGATAAAATCCCGTAAACAAGAGATTAGTAGACTATCTCCATTAGCCCCCCTCACTATGGGGACAGTTTTTCAATTTTCAATTTTTTTTAATACCAGATGATTTTATTCTGCACAGAGGGGACCCCATACATAAGGGGTGAGTAAACTATCTCCACTAACCCTTCACTACGCTAGATGATAATATTCAGCACAGAGAGGAGCCTCCGCCCCTACCCCTCATACACAAAGGGTTCAACACTGTATGTCACTTCTGCTTCACAGGTTCGGTTGGCACGGCGTCGATCCCTGCCGCTTGAAACACAGTGAGTCTAGAAAGATCATGGAACTTTACATTAATGGGGAGGAATCCGAGAGAAAACTCTTGGAAGATCAGTATGGCAAGAAGTACTTAAGTTTGCTACAGGACGAGTACCTCTCTCTCAACTACCTGGAGAAGAACTCTAAGAAGTGCCCAAGGTGTCAAGCTAAAATAGAGGTGAGTTATTTGATTGGTTTTGAGTTATTTTGACTATTTTTAGGTCATTTTGAATTATTTCGACTATTTTTAGATCGTTTTGAGTTATTTTAATAAATGTTTTGCTATATTTTGAGTTAGCTATTTACATTTTTTTAGTTATTATATACTATATTTTGAGTTATTTTCCTATTTTTAAATAAAATATTGGAAGAATGGAATCAGCCCATATGTAACCCAAACTAAGACTCACCTAAAGATTAGACACCCCAGCTTATTTCACCTGATGATTACAACACCCTAATGCTAACCTAACCTACCCTCACCCAGGTACCATTAGGGTGTGTAATCATCAGGTGAAATAAGCTGGCTGTGGGTTTAATTGTGAGATGATCCCAAATTATATAATGTCGACCTTTAAAAGACAAACTTACATTTCTTTTCTCTCCCCCATAACAGAAGATAGATGGATGCAACAAAATGACCTGTCAGAGATGCAGCATATACTTCTGCTGGCTGTGTATGTGTATGCTGAACAAGGCACGGCCCTACGAGCACTATAATGATCCCCACTCGCCCTGCTTTAACAGCCTCTTCGCTGGGATGGCCGAGGATGACGACATCTGGGATGATTCTGACGACGAGATGGGTGCGCTCCTGGAGTGACTGGTGGTGTTGAGATGTGCGCTCCTGGAGTGACTGGTGGTGTTGAGATGTGTGCTCCTGGAGTGACTGGTGGTGTTGAGATGTGTGTCCTTGTGGAGTGACTGGTGGTGTTGAGATGTGTGTCCTTGTGGAGTGACTGGTGGTGTTGAGATGTGTGTCCTTGTGGAGTGACTGGTGGTGTAGAGATGTGTGTCCTTGTGGAGTGACTGGTGGTGTTGAGATGTGTGTCCTTGTGGAGTGACTGGTGGTGTTGAGATGTGTCCTTGTGGAGTGACTGCTGGTGTTGAGATGTGTGTCCTTGTGGAGTGACTGGTGGTGTTGAGATGTGTGTCCTTGTGGAGTGACTGGTGGTGTTGAGATGCGTGTCCTTGTGGAGTGACTGGTGGTGTTGAGATGTGTGTCCTTGTGAAGTAACTCTGGTGTTGAGATGTGCGCTCCTTGAGTAACTGGTGTTGAGATGCGTGTCTTTGTGAAGTAACTGCTGGTGATAAGATGTGTTTCCTGTGGAAAGTTTTCAATTTTCTCAGTTCTTTCTCTACTAATGTTGTTCAATTTGTTATGTTTTCTTTTGTATTGCTTTGCCGCTCATTTATCCAAGGGAAAAAAAAAACCTAATTCAAATCATTTGGTATTTTATTCAGAATCCAACATCACCTAAACGTATTAGAATTTAATTAGAATCTAAGAAAGACATTTGTATTCTATTTTCAACTGTTGAATTTTATCCCAGAAAAATATAAATAAAAAAATATAAAATGTTATGGAGAGGAAAGGTACTATGCATATTGAGTCTGATGTTATCTTTGTGTACCGGTATGTTCCGTGAGACCAGACGACATAGATGTAAATAATTTTCCTTGCTGTACATATTTCACGTGTAATTCATATGACATTATAAATATATATATTACATCATTTAAAAACCCGAGTCATTCTTTTCATTTATTCCTTCCCCTAAAAAAAAATAGACCTGTAAATTTATGCAAGTTGATGGAAGTAAATGATTAGAAAATGAGGTAAATTTTGTAAATGGTTAGGTTAGGGTGTTCAGTCCTCTGGTGAGATAAGCTGGGGGTTAGGTTAAGTTGTTCAGTCCTTAGGTGAAGTAAGCTGGGGGTAAGGTTAGGTCGTTCAGTCATCAGGAGAAATAAGCTGGGGGTAAGGTTAGGTCGTTCAGTCATCAGGAGAAATAAGCTGGGGTTAGGTTAGGTTGTTCAGTCAGGTGAAATAAGCTGGGGTTAGGTTAGGTCGTTCAGTCAACAGGAGAAATAAGCTGGGGTTGGGTTAGGTTGTTCAGTCAGGTGAAACAAGCTGGGGGTTTTAGTTATTTTTATCTCTAATTCTTTAATGAAAATTTTAAAACTTGATATGAATCTTTTAATTACTAATAAAAGTAATAAATATCATAAAACATAATTATTGAAGTTGGAAGTTTTTCATAGTTTCATGTGCTAATATATTCATTTTGTTTTCGTGTTTCAGGAGAGGTGACTGGGATCTCTGGGCGCGTTAATTTATCGGGTATTAATGGATAAATTATAAGTCAAATGATATATATAATGTATCTAATATGAAGAAACGGACATATTTTATGTATTAAACTCATTTATAATACAATGAATATAATGGGAGGGAATATAATAGGCTTTTATATATAAATTCATTTTACTGCAATATCAGAATTTGGATTGATGAATAAGTGTAAGTAGAGTAAATAAGAACACACTGAAGGTCGTGTAGAAGTAATAAAGACTAAAGTAGGTAACTAGGACGTTGATAATCTGATTATAATTTTGTGACAGCCTGGAGTCAGGGAACGACCTCATACTCATTGTAAACTAACATTGGGTTTAAAATATAAAATACTTCTAATATTTAAAACACTCTACTTACTATTACGTATAGTTATTTTATAATATTCTTAAATATATATTCACGTTTCCATAATTGTTAATAAAGTGATATTTTGGTATTAATTCCCAACAAAACAGATGTCATCATATATTATTGGAACTTGTTGACATTGAAAATGGAGGCAGTGCCGCGGCTGCCTATGTTAGGCTTTGAGCTGAAGTCTAGTGCAGAGAGTGTTGAATATGGCCCCAAACTCAGACCGGTAAGACATAACACACCAGTCTTTATCTAAAGTTCAATTCCATATAATATCCATAGGTGTAAATGAGTAAAAGAAGGACATAACAAAAGTGGGTTGTGGTTCATCATTGGTGGTGTGATGATAAATGTTTTTGTAATGTTTGTTAGTCACAGCTGTAAGTCAAGCTGTGTACCTCTCCCATAACTGACTATATAACTCTACACATCTATTAACCAGTCTTTATCTACATATATACACACGTGGTAATGTTCTAGGAAGTTGAATCATAAACTCGTGACAAGACCTTCCCATATTACCTTCATCATGGTATATTATTCCCTATGTTATTATCTATCCCTAAAACATCTGTAAATTCACGAGAAATAATTAAATGAGTTATTGTCCAGCTGAAGGATTTTACGTCATATTAAGCAATGTCCAGGAGAATGTTCTAGAGATAAGATTGTAATGATCAGGTGGTCGGAATTCCGCCCAGTTGGCTTTATAGTTTACCATTATTTATATACCAACACTATTTATATTGTTTATATACCTACACTATCCATGTACATCGTGTATACTTACACTATGTACAGAACATTGTTTACATACCTTCACAATCTATGTGCATTGTTTATATACATTACACTTTCAGTGTACATTGTTTATATACGTATGTAGGCCCCGTTGTGGGTCGTTAACCTGTGCCCGGGTGGGCTAATCCCCGTAAGAAAAAAACACATGGTAATTGTGCAGATTACAGCAACCAAAGAATTCAGGAAATTCACTTCACTCAATCGGTAGAACTATTTTTTCTATAATAAATTTCTTATATACACTTCTGTCGCAAATTTATAATAATAAAGTTACACTCTCTCTTCGTCTTACGATGGGGTTCCATCCCGACGACCAGGTCGTAAGTCGAAAAGGCGAAAATAATACATAGAAATTCTAAAATGGGTGTCTTTTTCTTCTCACCACCACGAGAACTCTCACTTTTACACTTGCCAGCCATTTTAAAGGGAATTACAAACAAAAATTTTGTCAGTACACAGCGTAATCACTCACGTCGGGAGTCGAAAATACGTAATTTGAAAAATATTTTATACGGCCACGGCTGTCGTATGTCCGGGCTGTCGTAAGTCGAGTATGTCGTAAGTCGAGGAGTACCTGTATTTAATTTAAAAAAAATAAAATCAGAGCACCTGACCCTGACTCGGAGTAAGGTAAGAAATGCTGTAATGGCTGTTTATATTATTGTGGAGGCTGACCACGCGACTCTGGATTATTACCTAGCATATGGCCTTCGCCGGGGGGCATCCTCTGGAGACCCTGGTTAGGTGGTTAGGTAAGGATTAGTTTGGTTGTGTTGCATAATCCACAAATCACTCGTTTTTCCCTCTCCCCCACCCAAAACCTTGAATTCCCACGCTGTTCCTTAGTATTGTTATGGGGGGGGGGGGCTAAATCACAAACGAGTGATTTCCGACAAAAACAAATGTCAGATTTGAACTGATCGCATCAAAATCCACCAGAAAAACATATATATATATTTTTTTTTTCAAATTCCATGGTTGCTGTAATATGCATTGTTTATATACCTTCACTATGAATATGCATATAATACATACTCTATGTATATACTATATACTATTTGTATATATTTGTATTGTCTGTGTACTTGAATGTAGATAGATACAAAGATGAAATGTATTCACTAAAACCACCACACAAGTTTACAGTGTGCTCAGAATGTATCTAGTCAGTACAGGTGAACAGTGGCCAATGTACCTAGAAAGTGCAGGTATACAGTATCCAATGTATATACAAGGTATCTAGACAGTGCAGGTATACAGTATCCAATGTGTATAAAATGTATCTAAAGAGTGCAGGTATACAGTATCCAATGTATATAGGCAATGTAACCAATGTATCTAGATAGCGCAGGTATACAAACAATGTACAGTTATGGGAAATATTTGCACAATAAGATCTTGGACAGCCCTCATGTAGTGAACTATATGGAGAAGAGAGAGTGTGTGGTTGAGGGTGTGTTAGAGGTGACACCCTTCCTGTTATCTAATTTACCTTTGTGCGAATTGTCATAAGTGATATATCAAACAATAGGATTAATTACTATTATTACAGTGCAGGTATTTGTGTAATTGTTATTATTATAGTTACCAGTATTTTATTATTATCATTATTATTATTATTATTATTATTATTATTATTATTATTATTATTATTATTATTACAGTATATACGTGACCACTACAATGAGGATCCAGAGAGCTACAGCACAGAGATCCACGAGCTGGAGGCATTGCGGGCCGGTGCCACCCACGTCCCTCACGACTTCACGGGATGTTCCACCCTCAAGAAGTATTACTGCCAGTTACACTTCCTCCTCTCACGGTTTCCACTTACCGACAACCCTGCCATTTCAGTGACGTTTAACTGGTAAGATAACGGTAATGAGACAGTTGTTGGTTAAATGTAAGACTGTTTGGTTAGGTTAGGTTATGTTATACTGTATTAAATTCGGTCTTGTTGTTCTCAGGCATTTTTGTAGAGAAAAAAGTATTTACTATCGACTTAAGAATGTCTCCTAATATCAAGTGTACATCTCTTCAAAATGTGATGAGGTGAACTAAGCTGTGCCGTCTAATCCTCTCATGATCTGGAAAATGTTTTGCTTGTATAATATTATTGTGGTTAACAAAGAAAGTAAGTACAGTCTAATATATATATATATATATATATATCTTGTCCTGACCAATAGATGGGGGTGAAGACACTCTGTAGGTTCATGGAAGACATATTAGTACATCTGGTGACTTGGATTTTATAGTTTGTGTCTCTGAGTAGCTGTAGAATGTATCTTTTATTGTCTTGTTTTAATAATGGAACTCTGATGGTGGACCTTGGGGCATAGTAGTTATTATGACAGAGAGAGAGGATGATAATGATATTGATGATGATGATGATACTGTTTACTGTCACTAATAATATTTATTCATTAAAATCATCATACAGGTTTACAATGAGATATGCAGGTATACAGTTCACTATAAATATACACAATGTTGGTGTACTTTATAGTTGTATCTCTTTTTGTTTGAGTGTGTGTGTGTGTGTGTGTGTGTGTAAATAAATTTGTCATTGTTGGGCTGTTAGGAAGTTTTCCGTACTGCGTTGTATTGCAGGTACGACATATACTCCAGCGTGGTCTACAATGTGACGGACATCAAGTACGAGATGGCCTGCATCCTGTACAACATAGGAGCCCTTCACACAGACCTCGGAGCCATGGACGCCAGAAATACTCCCGACGGCATGAAGATCAGCTGTACTCACTTCCAATGTGCTGCGTGGGCCTTCCAGGTAACTGTCACTCGGTAGTAATGAAACGTCCAGCTTAATTATGTGACGATTCATTATCAATTTTTAACAGGATTATATATATAGTATGTTCATCTAGTACTCTACAAGATGTTAGAATGTTAGGATCAGTTCTGTCAACACCTGTGAATATCCTGAAACATTCTTCTATGGTAAATAAGTACTGTATATAGATAAGAAATGAACCTTTTCTTATGTCCTTTGTTGCCCTCAGCATCTACGAGAGACGTATCCTCAGCCGCGGGAGACCGACCTGAGTCCCACACTACTGACGTTCATGTATAATGTGGCTCTGGCTCAGGCACAGGAGTGTATTCTCGAGAAGAGTATGACCGATAACCGCAAGCCAACCATTATAGGTAAGATAGATACTATTGAGTGTTGTAGTCACCGGTGAAGTTCTCGTCTCTTGGTATATCATTTTATATTACGGTGAGACCTTTATATAAATGGACTTTATGGACAGGAAATTCCATCATATATCAAGGGTCTAACCAGTCTTATTACATGTGAAACATCGATCTAACGAACTGTGTAGAGATGAACGTCCCTTATAACGAAGATCCATTAGATTTGCACCAGTATCTAATGGATTATATAGAGAGAGATGTCCTTTATATGGAGGTTTCACTGTATACAAACTTTTCATTAATTTTTCATGATAATTTTAGTTGGTTAAAGCTCAGAAATGCCCCTGACATAATACCTTGTGTTTCAGCACTTGGGCTTATATCATGGAGTTTGTTCACATATATATTGGTACTACTTTATATGCTGCTTAAGGATCTGCATTCACAACCTAAAAATTCAAGTAATTGGTGCTAATTAATGACCTTTGAAATGATTAAAAGTATTTAGAATAATTAAAAATCAATTACCCTATGTCTCTAAGTTTTAAATCACCTTTATATAAATATTCTGAAAAATATTGACAATCCTTACTTTTCACTTTCCAAATATATGTTGTTTTATGTCAAAGCTAAATAGTCTCTCATCAACAGGAACAGCTGTGAGATAATAGAGTTTGTGGACGAATGTTATAACACAGGATATTTTTCTTTACAGCCAAAGTTGCCATGCAAGTGGTAGAGTATTTGAAGGCAGCGATGAAGAGCCTCTGGTCGGGGAAGTCAAGTGATGCAGTTGTTACCGAGATTGTTGGCTCCAGGAAGTTGAAGGTATGTGCAGTACAGTACAGTGAACCCTCCATATAACGGACCCTTGATATAATGGACTTTCCTCTATAAAGTTCGTTAGATGGAGGTTTCACATCTAACAGACCCTCAATATAATGGACTTTCCTCTCCATATAACCCATTAAATCGAGGTTTCATTATATAAACAAATGTTAGCCAGAACGTATCACCTGAAGTGTCTCCACCACAGCTTATTTCACCTTTAGATTAACCACCCTGATGCTGTTTGGTGGCAGGTTGTTAGAGGTTAGGCTAGGTTAGTATTACAATGTTAATCTTTAGGTTAAATAAACTTGGTTGGAGGTTCTTCAGATGATCCACCAACATTGTTTGTTTGTCTGTAATAATAATAATAATTAATGGTATTTTAAGATAACATGATAATCAAAGAGCTGAAAATATACAATAAACAGAAATGATTAAAGTTACATCTGGTGAAAAATTGGGGAGTTGGTTACTTTTGTGTGTGTGTGTGTGTGTGTGTGTGTGTGTAATAATAATAATAATAATAATAATAATAATAATAATAATAATAAACGATTTGTTGAAAGTTTGCAGTCAAGGCTGAAAATATACATAATATATAAATGTGTGTGTGTGTGTGTGTGTGTGTGTGTGTGTGTGTGTGTGTGTGTGTGTGTGTGACCTCAAAGAAAACTAAATAAAACTAAATATGGACTAAAATAATGTTGAACATAACACTTAATATATACTGTTGCTAGTTCTGCATCATTGCTACCCAGATGGAGCTCAGGTTTGGCTGCCATCACTCCACCTAACCTAACTGAACACTCACAGGTAAATTTAGGTGTGGTTAATCTTCAGGTGAAATAAGCTTAGAGTGTTAATCTTCAGGTGAAATAAGCTAGGGGGGTAATCTTCAGGTGAAAAAAGCTTCAGGGGTTAATCTTCAGGTGAATTAAACTAGAGGGGTAATCTTCAGGTGAATTAAGCTAGAGGGGATTAATCTTCAGATGAAATTAGGTAGAGGGCGTTAATCTTCAGGTGAAATAAGCTAGAGGGGTTAATGTTCACATGCAATAAACTGGGGTTAATCTTCAGGTGATATCCGGCTATTAACGCGTTTCTCCATCTCCGACAGATGTGGCGCCGGTACTGTGAATTCAAGATGTCGTACCACAGTGCCGTTGCCTTACTGTACCAAGGGATGCAGGCGGAGGAGCAACAGAAGATGGGGGAAAGACTCGCGTACTACCAGGCTGCCGTCGACACTCTGAACGAAGCTTCCAAGATCGCCAAGAATCTCGAACAACAAGAAGTACGGGCGTAGCTTTTACCTGCGTTACTCTGTCTCGTTTTGTGGTGTTGTCCTTGTTGTGAAAAGTGAAATTGAGTCCCATTCCCATAATATTATTTTTATCTTGTTTTATAATCTTTTGTGGATCATTTGAAGATTTTTTTCCTTCAGTTTATTTCACTTTCCCTTCTCTCCTTTCTCTCCTTCATTTGTTCTTCAGTGTTAAGATGTAAAGTTTGTCATTATTATTACTAGTGTTTATTTTTCTGGTGTCTTTTTCTGCTTTCACTGGTTCAAGGCGGAAATGAGCATGCTCAACAAATCAGCCCAGAGGATACGTGAGGTTGATGCCAATGAGGTTCGAATCATCGCCGTGTGTCTTTTATCAGCTTGCTATTATTACCTGTTACTTGCCTTTGAGGTGTTGAGGCCTTACTGCAACGTTGGGAAGGTTTGAGTGAAGAAGCTAGTGTAGTGTATAATGCTTTTCAGATTAGTAGTTGTATTTTGGTGTAATGATCGCTTCCAATCCTGTGGTTCTTAACCCTTAAACAGCGACCATTATCAGTGTAAGTTAGCTGTAGGGAAGGTGGCCATCATCAGTGGATGTTAGCTGTTGGGACGGTGGCCATCATCAGTGGATGTTAGCTGTTGGGACGGTGGCCATCATCAGTGGATGTTAGCTGTTGGGACGGTGGCCATCATCAGTGGAAGTTAGCTGTAGGGACGGTGGCCATCATCAGTGGATGTTAGCTGTTGTGGTTGTTAGCTGTAGACGGTGGTCATCATCAGTGATGTTAGGCTGAGTGCCATCATCATTGGATGTTAGCTGTAGGGACGGTGGCCATCATCAGTGGATGTTAGCTGTAGGGACGGTGGTCATCATCAGTGGATGTTAGCTGTAGGGACGGTGGCCATCATCAGTGGAAGTTATGGTAGTCTGCTGTATGTAAGACTTATTATTCCTCACTATTTCCTTCTATGTATTTGGAGAGTTATCATTTAGTGAGTAAAATTTAGGATAGGTGTATAGGGATGAATATGTCTTACTTTATTTACATGTCTGACTGTGCGTAAAGGTTTTGAAATCACTCGCCTTTTACAGCTTATTGCAGAGAGCTTGACCTTCTCTAACGACGTGATGGGCGGCAAACTCACGGCCGCACTAAAGGAAAACGAATTCGTATACCACGAGAAGGTGCCACCCATTGCCTCCCTGCCTGAGGTCAAGGGGGCGTCTCTGGTCAAAGGCATTCCATTTAGCGTGACCGATCCTGAGGTGGCCGGGCAAGACATCTTCATCAAATTAGTTCCTATGGAGGCTCACCAGGCGTCGTCTATGTACAGGTCAGTGGTCGGGATTTATTCCACATGATGTCTCCCTAACACTAACTGATAACGTTTTTCAGGGACAGGGAGTGTATTTATGTATACTGTATAACTCTTATGTATACTAGTACCCTCTTGAATGTTTTATCGTGTTACTCTTATATGTATACTGTACTATATCACCCTCTTTTAAATATACTGTATTACCCTCATATGTATACCTGTACTATTTTACCCACATATGTATACTATTTTACCCTCATGTATACCATATTACCCTCACGTATGTATACTGTACTACCCTTTACAGCGAGGAGAAGGCCAAGCTCCTCCGAAGAATAGGAAGCGCCATCCAGGAGAAGAATGAGGAACTAGAGACCTACTTAGCATCTATGCAGCTAGACTCCCTGGCATTAGACTCAGGCTCAGAAACTCTCCCCCAGGAACTTATCGAGTGCTGCGCTGATTTAAACGCCAGTAACGGTATCAAGAAACTCACCGACACCATGGCTAAGATATCCAGTTTCTTTATCGATATCAACGCCGCCTTAGAGGAGATTAAACGTGTGCTCCAGGTACGTAAAAGATGCTATCGGTATTTTTGTTTTTTTTTGTTTTCATGTGTTTGTTGTTGTACAGGGTGTCTCATAAAGTCATACACCGTTTGGGGGAAAATTTATCAACGAAGTAAGTTTTATATATATTTTTTTCCATCTGTTTCAAATGACGGGTTGAGGTTCTGTGGACTCCAGTGATCTAGTTGAAGTGAACCCTGAATGATGAGTGTGTAGAAGGGAGGGTAAGTGTGTTGAAGGGAGGGTAAGTGTGTTGAAGGGAGGGTAAGTGTGTAGAAGGGAGGATAAGAAGTTTGTTTACCTCTTCTTCTTGATTATCACGCATCATTGTTTCGTTTTTTTCATCTCAGGAAGAAGACGAAAAAGAAAAAGAATTCCTGGCTATGATGGGGAAACGCGCACCTAACATGATAATCGGGGAACTGAAGCGCGAGGCCAACAAGTACCGAGAGGCCCACCAGAGCGCACAGGACAACAACACGGCACTACACAGGGCCATCACCACGCACCTGGCCCATCTTCAGCTCCTCTCCAAGCCTTTAGATCAAGTAGCAGCAGCGATCCCCTCGGTGGCTAATGTGGAGGGTAGGTACTTGAGATTTTCCTGTCAAGAAATAATGTCGAGGTGTTGAGGGGTAGAGACTCCTCAGTTCTTCGGCTCCTGGAGGTCACCCTAAGCTGGATATTGTAAAATCGTCGTAAAGATCTAAAAATATGAAAATCGGCACAAAAGGGTTTTATAAATCATTGTAAATATCTAAAAAATACGAACTTCGGCATGAGAGGGTTTTAAACGGTGTCGCACATGTGTTAGGTTAGAGAATGTCAGTGGTTTTGACTCTTCTAACGATAATGTTCCGTTTGATTACTCGACTGTTAGTAATTATTTCCTCTTCCAAGTATTTATAGCATTCTTATTTATTAATTTGTTTTCATATTTACCATCAATGCTCTTTAATAATCCTCAACTCTATTCTAACCTTCTCTTAGGTATAGTAAAATCTCTCGGACCAATCCTCAACTTTATCCTTACCCACAGGCCAGGGCGACCAAGCTTCAAAACAGGAGGTGAAGCGTTTGATGGGTAAAGTAAGCGAGATGCAAGCCCAGCGCGTCAAGTGGGAGAGTCAGCTACGTACGGACATCCAGGACGACGACGTCACTAAGCAGCTGGTGACCAATCAGGATGACATGGAGGACTTCTTCAAAAACGAGCTGAAGAAACACGATAAACTGGTGAGTGAGTGAGTGAGTCGTCTTGGTCGTGGCGATGTAACCCGTGAGGCTCGGGTGTGTATAGGAGGTGTCGTGGTAGTGAAGAGATTGGAAAGTTTTAACAGCTAACCTACCTTAACCTAATCCAACCCTAACCTAATCCAACCCTAACCTACCTTAACCTAACCTAATCCAACCCTAACCTACCTTAACCTAACCTAATCCAACCCTAACCTACCTTAACCTAACCTAATCCTACCTTAACCTAACCTAATCCAACCCTAACCTACCTTAACCTAACCCTACCCTTACCTAACCTAACCATTGAGTCTTGTGTATCAGGAGGCGTCACTGTATTAGAAAGATTGGAATATTTTACCACACAGAGGAGGTAATGTGGTTGAAGAGAGGTCATGTTGGTGCTTTTGATGCTACCCAGGCGTCTAGCTCTGAAGGTTAAGTAAAGGTCTTAGCATAACCATGATTTTTGTTGAGGTGTTTTAAGTTTATATTGTAATGCAGGAGATTGAATAAAAAGTTATTATTGACAAGTTTTTTGTAGAATTGTTTTAAATGTATTATGTTATGGGGGTTTAATTCTCCCCCTTGTATCTTCCTAGGTGTCTCTACTTGAACAAAATATGGCCGCACAGACCAACATTCTCCAGGCTCTGTCGGAAGCTAACGCCGCCTATGCCACCACGCGCCGCCTCACCAACCAGGTCCAGGCACAGAGAACGGAGACAGTCTCATCCCTCCTGGCTTCTTATACTGCCTATATGAACATTTTGAAAAAGGCCGAAGATGCCCAAGAGTTCTACCGTAAACTAGAAGGTCAAGTGAACAAACTGGCATCTCGGGTCAAGTCTGTGTGTCGTGTGCAAGATGAGGAGCGGGAGGATGTTCTCTCGGCTAATGTTAAGAAATTTACTGCAAGTTCTGTGGCGGCAAAAGTTCCGAGTGGACCAACAGCGTCTGGCCATCTCCCCAACTTGGACACGGGCGGAAGCACGTCCAGTGGACCGAAGCTCAAAGATTATCTACAACATATGAAGGGTGGAAGTGTGGGTGTCAGCGCTGGGTTGCCCGCTGGTATGATGACCGCTGCAAATGTCCAAATTCAACCGGGAGTACCAGGGTATGGCTATAGTGACCCAAGTGCTTACACCAGCAGTATGCGACCTGCACCTCTGGGCTCAGAACAGAGCGATCCGTCGACATCATGTAGCGGACAGGGTGCAGGCGGCTACGCGGTCAGCTACTCCAGTCAGGCCGCGGCGTACCGTCCCTCGGCACCCTCCCCGGCACCTTCCCCGGCTCCACAGATTTCGGGATCCCCCTATAAGGCTCACGCGACTGGCACCCCACAGAGCACGACTGGCCAGTACTACCCTCAACACAGCGGGACTTCAGCGTACCCGGGAGGTGTGGGCGTCTCCGGCTATCCTCCGGCACAGAGCTCGACAGTACCCATGTCGTCTGCCCCATCTGCAAGTTATTCCAGCTCCTCAAATGCCCCACACACTGCTAGCACCACAGCTACCCAGCCAAGTACCTATACAGCATCACAGTCTGGGAGCCAGCATTATGGCTACAATATGCAATACCCTCAGTATGGTTATCAGAATGTCCCTGGAGCAGCAACAGTATCAGCCAGTGGCCTGACTCATGGTATGCCTCACAGATCTCCCCTTCATGGTGGCACTGCAGGTGTTCACGATAAACAAGTTCCTCATCAGCCTCAGTATGGGTATGGTGCAGGGTACTCGGCTACCGCCCCCTCAACTTACGGTGCGAGTGCTGCCACATCTGCTGGAGCCACGAGTGTGAACGGAAGTTCGACCGTAGGGGCTACTCGTGCCCCTCAACCTGGTGCTGTGGGACAAACCAACATGACCCAAGGTTACTACGGTTACTACCAACAACAGCAGCAGCCCAGTACCACCTCTGCAGCATCTAGTGCTCCCATGACTATACCTTCTACAGCATCACCCCAAATTAGTAGCCAGCCTTCACACCCAACCACCTCTCAGAGCTACCCCCAGTATTCCTACCAGTACCCTCTTGCCCAGACAAGCACGTCAGTTCCTTCCATGTACAGTCAGGCGGGTTCACCCCACTCTGCAAATTACAGAGGAGAGTTCAGCAATCAGTCCGGAGGTGTAGTATACTGTAACCAGTTGGGTTATGGAAACCAAGGGCAGACATCTGGCACTCAATCGCCCAGTGTATACTCTAATCAAAGAGGAGCCGGGTATCCTTCGAGATCCTACGTCACCCAGGCAACGGGCACGTACGGCGGTGGGTCGTACTTGTCGCAGCCGTCAACAACGTCCAGCACTCGGCCCAGTGGAACACCGTCGACGGCAAATGCTCCTCCGTTTGGGTCTGAAAACAACCCGTGGAACATGTATTCCAGTTATCCTCAAGCTGGTATACCATCTAGCATCACCAGTCAGGCGGGAAGTGCTCACACCATTACGAGTATGTCGGGCGGAACCAACGTGAAAGATATGCAGCAGTATCCCTATAGCAGTGCCACGGCATTAACTACAGCAAGTGCCAACGTCGTGTTAAGTACAGGCACCGCCCAGATTTCGGCACCAGCAAGCCTCCCAACAGCAGTTTCCCAGAACACCACCATGTATAGTCAAAACTTGCAGCACAACCAAACTTACACTCAGCCAATGATGTGGGCTCAGTATAGTGGCCAGCAGCAGCCATATCAGCACCCACAACAGCACCCTCAGCAACAACCACAACAGCACCCTCAGCAGGCACAGCAACAACCACAACAGCACCCTCAGCAGGCACAGCAACAACCACAACAGCACCCTCAGCAGGCACAGCACAACCACAACAGCACCCACAACAGCACCCTCAGCAACAACCACAACAGCACCCTCAGCAGGCACAGCAACAACCACAACAGCACCCTCAGCAGGCACAGCAACAACCACAACAGCACCCTCAGCAGGCACAGCAACAACCACAACAGCACCCACAACAGCCCCAGCAACACCCTACACAGTCACCACAACAGTACCCACAACAAGCAAAGCTCCCACCTCAACAACCCCTTCAGCCACAGCCATTGCAGCCACAGAACAAACAGAAGCCAAGCACCACTAGCGGTTCAGCCGGGCCCTCGGTGTCATCCGTAACTTCTGGCATCTCCAACTTGGACCTTCTCTCTGGGATCGAGTTAACATCTCCTCCAACCTCCCAGTGGTCACCTCTCACCCCACAACCTGCAGGCACCAGACAGTCAGCCGACCCAGGGAATGTTGCTGCTGGAGGAGGAGGAGCAATTCCCACATCAGCTCAGTCCGGCACAGCTCCCGACGTCACCTCCACAGCTGCTGGGCCCAGTCAGATGGCACCGGCCTCGGTGAGCAACTTGCCCAACATTGTGTCCAGTGTAAGTCTTCTGGATTGAGTTTAAAAGATTTTTCTCATTATTTTGTAGAATTTACTTATAAGGATTGTGCAATTCAGTTGTCAGTTATTTTGATGGTTGTTAAAAGTAAGCTTTAGTTGCTTCAAACAAGAAATGGCTGCTTCAGTCTCTGGCACTATAAAAATGATCCATGTCAACAGTTTTGCATTATTGAAGTAGTAGTAGTTTTAGGGCCACGTGATCCATCTATTTTTATAACCTTATGTTTGTCTTGAGTGATTAATGTATCACCTCACTGTGTCTAAATCCAGGATGTCTCAGGGCTAGACTAATGCATTAATGAGTTGGGCCTCCCTGCTGAACCTAGAGCTTTTGAAGGGGATCTTGGAAACAACTAGTCACCATACTGTGTCGGGCAGAGTTGTGACATCACTTAATCTCTCCATACCTCGTCATTATTTTTATTATTATTATTATTATTGTTATGCATTGGCCATCATCTGTGGAAGAATCCTGTTCATTTCAGTCCACTTTTGAATGAGTAGAGAATCCTTAGCTGCCAGTTAGGGAGAAGGTGTAACTGATTAATGAATTAGTCTCAGATATCAAGACATCCTGGATGACAGTATGACTCCTCTGATCTGTTGGGACGACTCACCAGTTGTTCGGACTTGGTCATAAAGTGGGATTTGGGGATCCAGTCTCCATTAAGTTCTCGGGATATTGTATGTTCTTCTGTACCACCAGTTAGTCCCTTGAATCCACATACTGGCTTGGTTATATTCAGCCATAATGCCCCATCCCATCTTGTACTGAGTTTACCAGGATGTCTGACTTTATTTTTCATAGTTTTGCCTACACAGCACATGTAGGGTAGCTCATTGATGTGTGCAGCTCTCCATACAGTGATCTCATCCGGTTATGTTAGTAGGACTAGACAGAAATTATTCCCGAGTTGAGAATAGTGAAATCTTGTCGTCTTCTTCACGTTCATCATTTTGGTACCGTACCTGATAAGCTGTTCTGGTTGATATATGTACCATTGATAACATACTAATTCCCTTTCTCTCACAAATACAGTTCATAAGTTTTCATCGTAAATTTTAATCTATTGTTGTCATTAAATATTTGCCTCTGAAATGAATTACTGTGTATTTTCTTAGGGTTGCATACAGGAGGTTCCCGAGTTACGAATGGGTTACATTCCCGGGTCCTGTTCGTAAGTCATTATGCCCGTATCTCAGAACAACATTAATTTCGCAGTAGAATATCAATAAGATTGCAAAACCCATCCCTATAAAATCATAACAATTATAAATCAAAGATAACAAAAGAAATGGAAATAAATCATGTAAATAATTTTAAAATTCCTTGTGTAGTGTACTAGGCATATGGTAACCCACACCTAGGATGGAGCATTAGTTTCTTAGTTTATATAATACGAAGACAGCCATATTCTGTAAATCACGAACCTCTGTTATGAATCTCGGTTATGTACCATCGACTTTTAATTTTTATATTATCGATAAGGAATTAAATGGATCTCCCGGACGATGGTATTTGGAGACGTCTTCGTGTGGGTCTGATTGGAGTTTGGATTTGATCTGTAAAATATGGATCTGGATACAGAAAAAACCATTAACTAAAACAAGAGACTATAGGGCTGCACAATAGAAACCTCCATATAACAGATTTCTTTCTATATATAATTCATTAATGGGGGTTTCATACCTAACGGAACCTCGATACAATGGACTTTCTTCTCTATATAGTGCTTTCTTCTCTGTTTTTTCATCTATGGCATTTCTCCTACTTTGTGCAGTAAAGCCAACCTCTCCTTATCTTACCCTCTTCACAGCTCACAGGGTCAGTGTGTATACCTTAGCATTATTTCCTAAGCCAGTTGAATATGGAGACATACTGGTATATCTTTTAAAGAAATCGACATGGTTTTATTTATCTGTAGAATGTTTAAATGTTTTTCTTGTAATTTGAGAATTATATTTGTATAAAATATAATTAGTTAAGGTTTATTATTGGATGTCTACTTAAGAGGGGTCTGTATAAGTTACTTTTAAATTATTCAATGTTATTCATTTATATTACAAGAAGATGTATTTACAGTATTGATTTTTTGCATTTTATTTAGGAATAACATGATATATAATTATTCTGTCTTATTAATTTGGACAGTTTGGATAATAATTAATTCTCTTGTTAATTTAACCATCATTTAAATAATTACTCTTGTTAATTTAATCATAATTTAGATAATTATATGTCTTGTTAATGTATTAAAAGCTTTGGTACAGTAATTGCACTTTGTCTTGTTTTGGTTATTGTGCACAGTTCCAGATTTGTGACTGATATTGTAAGAAACAACAGCAATCAAAACTTTTTAATAAACATTTCGGTCACCTGAGAAGTATCAATAAAATATTTCTATAGTATATTAGTTTTTACTTTCAATTTGTTATGAGTGATTTCCTGTTTTGGTGGATGAACCTTTCTTCTGAATCATTACACTCGGACACTGTACTTCATTCTCTGTACGTCTCTGGACTGGCTATTGTAGATCTTGTTATGTGCACAGTTGCGGAGAAGAGTACTGTACTTTTAAATCTCTGTACATCTACTGACCAACTTAATACACTTTCAGTTGCGGAGAAAAGTTCCCTCTATGTTTTGAAACTGAACCGTGGTAATGAATCTCCGAACTAACTTATTTACCCTGAATGTCATCTGATGCTAGTTTGCTGTTTTTATTTAATTTGGGGTCGATACTGCTTCAGTTTGGGAGGTAGCGAACTTTTGACATATGGTGTAGGAGGAGGGAGGAAGAGGTTAGGAGGACGAAGGGAGAAACCAGTTAAAGCTACGGTAAATAACGTTAAATTTTTGCCCTTGAAACAGACCAAAATTTGAGGCTTTTTGTGTACATAGGATAAGTGAACCTGTAATGATGATTGTGACTTATCTTTATACACCTGGTCATAAGTACTGTATATAATGACTAAATTTATATGATTTTTTTGTCCTGGGTATATTTATTGTGGATGTTAATTATTATGTTATGTGAGGAAAAAAAACATTGTCAGTAATGTCACTTTATCTTGGTAACTGTTAATGTCTAATGTGACGTTGGTTTTGTGAAAGAAATGCATTATAAGATATTATTTGCATTACTTAACTCTTAACCATTCACTGGGGACGTTAGATGATTTTGAGAAGACCCCATACACAAGGGGATAAATAGCGGCTATCGTCTGTGGATGTTAGCTGTAGGGACGGTGGCCATCATCAGTGGGTATTTCACGTTCCTAACTTTCCACTTTTACACATAAGAGGACAGAGTAGGGAATCCTTAAACCCAAGACGTTATAATTTATTTTATTTTCCTCTCTCCCACATATCTTTTGTAACCTTTCTCTCCTTCTCTCCCCCATCTCCTCATTATCACCAGTCCCCTTCCTCTCCTTCAGGTGTAATACAGGAGGACATACAGTCTCAGTGTCTTGTAGCCATCACTAAGTACTATATGGCCGCTGTTTAGAGTCATATTTTTATCAGGGCCACGAGAGATAAATGCTGGCAGGGATGTCCGGTGATGAAGCATTTACAGATGATATTAACAGCATCACTTAACTACCAAAATGGGAAATAACTCAGATATATAGTTCAATTTCTTACTAGTATAACCATTTATTATATTTTATTTAAGCATAAATTTATAGTAATATAATTTTGATATTTATAAAACAAAAATCACCAAAATATTTAATATTAATTGTAAATAACTAAATATTGTTTTATAAATAAGACGATACATCTCGGTGAACCAGAAATAGTTGAAACTAATGACTAATACTGTAGTAATGTCTTATTATTTATTTAAAGATTCACATTCCATTAATCATTTTGTCTCTTCAGTACACTAGGAGACATGTTTTAACCACCTTAACTTCGAGTAGTAAACGTGTGCCGTACGTGTCGTTACAGAACACTGCTGCCTCAGACACTGCTGCCTCAGACACTGCCACACACGCCCCTGGCACCGTCTCCTCTAGCATCCTTGATCTCACCGTCTTGGCTAAGGTATTCATCTCTTCCCTATATATTACACCTCGGCTCTGTTTCCTCTACATGTTGTCTCTCGTAATAGAAGGTATTTATTACTAGTTTATGGATCACCTGAAGATTAGCCCCTTATTACACCTGATTAATTAACACCCTAATGCTACCTGGGTGCCTAATCTGCAGGTGATCCATCTATTCTCTCAATGTAGTGGTAGTAGTAGTATACAGTAATAGTACAGTACAGTTTGGAGCAGTAATAGGGAGAATGAACTGGGACTTAAATCCTCATCAATTAGTACTTTACCCTCCCTCTCCAACCATCGTCAGAGGCAACAGCTCACCAATATAGAAGGAAGGTGACTCATAATGTTACACTAGGTTCTATACAATATGTCATCAGGTCATATTAGCTTACAGACATAATCCTAAACCTCCCAACCTCTGCCTGATTGGTACAGATGTCCGACCAGCAGCTTTTCTGTGTTTGAAGGTAATTGCTTTTCCATTTATTACTTATTCATGACTTGGAGAATTTTAACAAAGGTCTTAGGGGTATTTTAGCTCTTCATGTAAATAGACAATACTGTACAGTATACAATATCAGTATACCTAGATACTGTATTGTGGGAATTGTATACTGAACAAATAATGGTAAAACGGTAAAGAAATTCAACCAAGGATAGTCAACAAGGCCATCAGATGCTTATTTCCCGTAGTTAAGTTGTTACCGGCTGTTTATTCAATGAAAGATGGACGTAAGACAGGCTCAATGAACAAGCTGAATGATAAGTATGTAGAATTTCGTTTACATAATTATTTGACGTAAGCATCTATGTACCCATTCACAAATAATAGAAGAATAAGGATGTTAAAAAATAATAAAAGAATAAGAATGTGAAAAAAATGAAAGAACGGTAGAGAGAATATGAAGGAAGAGCTAGAACACGTAAAGAGAAGATGATAAGGGCACTGAGGGCTCTACAAAGAACGACCCAGACGGCAGGTGCGGGCTCGATCAAACAAATAGGTAAGTCGCTTGGATCTAACATGTTGTTCTTGGCTTAGGGTCTACACCTGAACTCTATCCTGGAGCACAGTTACTGAGTCGGAAATTTGTGTGATGGTTATAGTGGAGAAGAAAATCTTACAAGGGAAAACAATACTAGAGAGGAAGGGGGGGAGACAGAGAGATAGATAAAGATAAAAGGAAGGGAGAAAGAAAGAAATATAAAAGAAGAGACAGAAGGAGGTACAGGACAATATAGATCTATGTAGACACGAATATATATTTCCACTTCAGAGTCGAAAACCAACAGTAGTGGACCCTCTGTCAGACGATGAGAAGCTGCAGAAATTGGCCGTCGAGACAGAGCGCTTGAGTAAGATCGTCGAGGGGCTGGATCGCAAGTCATTAAATGGACCGACCAACTTAGAACTGAAATGGAAGGAGCTCGTGGAAGTTGTGGTGAGTTTGTTTGTTTATTATTTGTACAGAAGACCTTTACCTTGATGATGAGGCTCACCTTAAGATTAGGCACCCCAGATTATTTCACCTGATGCTTAAATATGCTATTGCTAATCTACCCTTACCTTACCTTAGCCATCGGGTGAAATAAACTGGGTTTCCTAATCTTCTTAACCCCTTGTCTATGGGATTTCTTTTGGGCTGAATAAAATCATCTGGTGTTAGCCAAATAAAATATAAAAAATGGTACCCCTGTAGTGGAGGGTTTAAATCAGGGTGGGGGTAGGGATACTGTACCATATTTTTCTGTTGTAAAAGAGGTTATTTTCAAGTTTATTATTACACTATTACAGGAGAAGGAGTGTGGAGAGTTGAAGGTATCCGTTGCCCGATGTTATCCTCTCAAGAACAGATTTGCCGACATTCTCCCCTACGACCACACCCGTCTTACCTTGCCATCTGCCAGGGACGACTACATTAACGCCTCTTATGTACAGGTAAGTTCTTCTTGTACTCAATGGTTACGAATTAGATTATTATACAGTATTAGTGAATTAAAGCCAAAGATTCCCACAGCTTTAGGTTTAGCAGGACGTAAATTTCCTCACTGTGTCTAGGTACTCGCTTTGTTTGTCAAGTTCCGGCACTAAAGCAACGTTTCTTGTCAGGATGCCATCTATTGACATTTGGTGGGATTATAATTGGATTTTTGCTAGTGCTTCATGTGTAAGGTGTCTGGAAATGAGGAGAAGATGTAAAAGTGAAAGAATTGTTGGGTTAGTGGATCAGAATTTAAGTAGTGTAGATATAGTGAGAGAGAGAGAGGGAGAGAGAAAGAATATAGGTCAGAGATATATATAAGGAAGAAGGAAGAAAGACCAAGAAGATGGCAAGATCATGAAGGACATTTTAAAAGAATGAATGACAAAAAATAAATAAATGAATCAGTGACTCAGTAAACAGTATTATATGTAAAAATGTTTCTTCTAGCTCAAGTCAACTGAAGAGAGTTTCCCCCTGATCCTGACTCAAGCACCGATGCCAGCCACATTCATCGACTTCTGGACCATGGTGTGGGAGCTGCAAGTTGAGACCATAGTGTGTCTTAACTCTGATGCTGAGGTCAGGCATAGTGTTTGTGATTCATAGGTTAATGTATTGTAAGTTACATAATTTCCAGTTATGGGATTTCGAGTTACGGTATTATGGGATTTTTGAGTTATGGGACAGATATGTGGTTACTGAAATACCTTGTGCCTATGAAATACCCTGTACAGTACATTAACAGGTCTCAACATCTTTAAAAAGTTCATAAAATTATTACAAAAGAAAGATACTAAGGTTGAAAATATCTCTTCTTGTTATCTATATAGTAAAACCCGTTTATTTGTTATATATTTATTTATTTTATTTTTATTTTTAAAGGTGAAAGGTCAAGTGTATGTGCCAAGTGAGGTGGCTTCAGGCGTTGATTATGGCCAGTTCACCATCACGCTCCACAGCTGCCGTCAAGCTGGTTCCCCAGTGTCATTCCAGCGTATCCTCCACATGACACACCGCACCACTAAGGTGTCACGTGTCATCATTCACCTGCAGTTCCTAGGATGGCCTCCCAGGTAACACAGACACGTTGATACGTTTTTTCACGTCATCTTTGGTATTACTGTCATACAACAAACCTAACCTAATCTAGCCCCTTCCCCAGGTAACAAATAAATGTTAAATCATCAGGTGAAACAAGTTAGGAGGTGCCTAATCTTTGAGTGATTCTCTCTCTCTCTTTTACTATATCTTTTTTGTTTTCATCTTTCTCTTTTCTTTCTCTCTCTCCATCTCTCATTTTTTTTTTTATGATGACTAATTTACACTTCATCTCCCTCAGTGCTATGCCAGAGAGTCCCAGCCTCCTCTTGCAGTTCCTCGGAGAAGTTCACACATTTCAGCGACAGCAGAGAAACAAACTGCGGCCCATAGTGATCCACTGCGTTCCCGGCCTGGGCAGATCTGGGGTCCTCACCGTTCTCTCTGCTTTTGTGAAAGAAATCCATTCCAGTGAGTAGCGTTCGTTCCAGTGATATTTAAAAGTTATTCAAGTAACAAAAATTTATTCCAGTAAGTAACATTATTATTCATTTCATTAAGTCGCACTAAAATTTATTCCACGACACATGATCATAGAATATACTACAAAATACCCCAAAAACACCTTATAAACACACACACACATACACACACAGAATTAAATTTGTCTAATATTTCATGAGTCTTATTTCTATGTGATAAGACTTAGAGTATAATGCATTCCCCCATGTTGTTATAAGCCTCGTGTTGCAGGTGGCAGCTTACTAGACCTGACCTTACTTGTGGTGGACTTGAGCAGACAGAGGCGAGGTGGAGTACAAGACAAGGAACATCTACATTTCCTGTACTCAGCTGCTCTCTATTACGCCCAAGATGTACTCATGAAACGTACGTACTCATCGTTTAGCCCTCAAATACGTACTTGTGAGATGTTAAAATTATTATTATGAAGCATTATGGCTAGACACACCGTACAGGAGGTGACATCAGAGGCATATTTTAATGACAGTGGCATAAGGAAGAATTGTAAGATGTGACAGTTCTATCTCTATGACAGGGTGGCATAAGGAAGAATTGTAAGATGTGATCAGCTCTATTTTTATGACAGGGTGGCATAAGGTTATGACAGGGTGGCATAAGGAATGATTGTAATATATGACAGATGGTTTTTTATATACAAAACAGATACAGTTTGTAGTAGTAGTAGTAATAATAAGATTTCCTAGATGCTCCTCTGTTGCTTCCAGTCCACTAGAGAGAGACATGCAGTACAGTACAGTGTCTTTATGGCTCTTGAAATATTCTACAATGGCTCATTAACTTTTATAAAAGAATATTGCTCCATTTTTTTTAAGATAACATACCATTCCTTGTTCCACCTTCTGACAGTTTTAGTAGGGACAATAACATACCATTCCTTGTTCCACCTTCAGACACAGTTTTAGTAATGGACAATAACATACCATTCCTTATCTATTGGGTAGGTGGGGAATAGTACTTTAGCGTCCTTTGTAGGCATTACAGTATAATAGTACCGTAGAAGTACCGTATAATCTCATTTGTAGGGGGGATCCTGACCAATAAGGCCACATTTGAGGAAGGTCCACGGGAAAAGACCCACGTGCGTCACCCCTCTGCCGATCTTCTCTCCTCCTACGACTTGTCTCGACTCAAGAGCAAGCTCGGATTTGGTACGCTACACTATACCTGCCTTTGCTAGTATGATGCATGTGTTGTTATCTCATGTAGAAGTTCCCTCCTAAAAATATCCCCCATGTGTTGCTCTATTGGTGTTAATATTACCCTGTGTTTCTGTATGGTCAGTATATGTGTAATTTCATGTATTTTAAGTAAGGTGGAAGCTCCATATAACGGACGTCTCGCTCTCTATATAATTCTTTAGATGGTGGGGTCACATCTAACGAACCCACAATATAGCAGACTTTTCTCTATACACTATATACTGTTAAATGGAGGTTTCACTGTGTGGTAGTTCTGAATCTTAGAACCCATTTTGGATAGACTGATTAAATAAATACAGAGATGAACTAATAAGTGAGAATTTTCATTAGGATTTACGAGTGAAAGATGGAGAAGGCAGTTTGGCATTGTGTGCTGTGACGTGTTGTAATTATTGAAGGTATTTTGTATAGGTGTGTGTGTGTGTGTGAGCACCATTTATATGTTAAAAACCAAAGATTAGGATGTATTTTTGTTAGTTTTATGATACTTAGTGTTTGTCTTTCCCCATAGATCAGGAAAGTGGGAGTGGTAGAGGTGGCAGTGAAGACGAACGCTCCCGCAGTAACTCAGTCGGCTCTCTACTCAGTAACGGATCATCGGCTGGTGCGGAACATTGTACGAAGGAAGGGCAAAAAGAGCCAGATAAAGACTCTGTATCTTCGACAGGAACCCCCAGCAGTGTGTGCCAGGAACCAAGTGCCGTTGTTAGTAGCACCGGCGGCAGTGCCTTGGAGGATGACTCTAGTATCCAACCGGACAAGACGAGCGGGATTTTAGATTCGAGTTTTTCGGCTCTTCCTCCTAGCCTGGCCGCTAGCATGGACCCGCAGCAGTTCACGCTCGGCCCGCTCGTGCCGGGAAAGCTGAGCAAAATTACCAAGGATAGCTTTGAAAATCCAGCCGGGGCTTTAAAAAAGTCGGACGATCCAGCCGACCCCTTCAGCGGCCTGGATCCTCTGTGGTCACATAAAAAGTCTTAGTCACGGGGAAGTTGAATAATTTCCTCTGATAATCTTGTTTAAAAAAATACTTAGGGAAGTTAAATAATTTCCTCTAATAATCATAAGTTAAAAAATAGTTGTCTATAGAGTTACTCATTACATGTGATGGTAAAAAAAAGTGATACTTCCTTTAAAAGTAATTGCATATCAGATTTTAGCAAAGTAGTTAGTATTACATTATGAACATTTAACCCGAGAGAACATAGTAATTAGGGACAAACTCATGACTAATGCCTGTACTGTAATTGTTATTAATGTACTGTACTGTAGTTTTCCATGTGGTAGGATCAGAGTGCATGATTCTACGTCTATTTTTATGCCAATGACATTTGTAATTGTTCCTAAAAAGTGCAATTTTAATCTACTTCTCCACTTTGCTTCATTAATGGAGGAACAAGCTGCCATAATGCATGTTGTTAAAAAAAATGAGACATTGTATACACTCTAGAACCAATCTTACTAATTTGGTGCTCCATTATGCAGTACAGTATATAGGATTACAGGTACAGTCAACTACTAAAAGTCTCTTCGCCTCTCCACCTGAATCACGAACCCCCGCGAGAGATTCAGACTGGTGAACCCGAAGCAGTAGACTGATACATTATTCTCTCCATAAATGCTTTGGATTCATGAGTCTGAATCTCTTGCGGGGGTTCGTGGTTAAGGGAGAGAGGCGAACGGACTTTACTAGTCAACCGTATCGTGTAAACTCCACGTAAAAGGTGTTTCTTCATAAGGCAAACATGAAGTGATATATTTAGTGAGTTTTCGTCATGTTTTCTTTATTATCTGTAACAACTTAGGCACCACAGGACCATAATTTTGTAAGGGGATATGTGAACTATGTGTAAGGAAACTACTGAGAGTAATGACTTGAAGGGTAAGGATCACGTCAAGATTACGATAGTCACCCGAGCTTATTTCACCTGATGTTTAAATGGCCAAATGCTAACCTAACTTAACCTAAACACAACACCCCCCCTGCTATTTACATCAGTGTGTTTATTCATCAGGTGAAATAAGCTCAGGTGTTTAATCTTCAGGTGATCCGAAAATAATCATAAGTACCTACCTGATTCTGATCTATATTCTCATGGCTTTAGAAGACAGTACAGTAGATCCTGACCCTGGTATTGTGGAGAAGACAGTGATGTAGGGAGCCCACGCGATCTAGCTATGGGGCTTACAGGGTCTTGTTGTATTTTGGGGTGTAAGACCTTTTTCACATGAGTTTTTTTTTTGTCGCTCGCCTCATTAGTCAACGGGATTCAGTGGGACCTTTCACACGGACGTCCATCGAACTACTCCGTTGATTTCTAAGTCGTGTGGTTTAAGATTGAGATCCCTATTATGAATTAGCTGTTAGTGCTGCCTCAGTTTAATTGCATTTTAATCCATGATCATAGGAAGGTTAGTCCCCCTCCCCCCCTACCCACCCCAGCTTAATTCACCTGAGAATTAAACACCTTAATGCTATCCTAATCAAATATAACCTGACCTAATGTAACCTAATCTAATCTAATATAACATAATGTAAACTAATCTAACCTAACTTGACTTAACCGAACCTGGTAACGTTTTTGTGTTTAAGCATCTGGTGAAATTAAACGTGAGGAACATAATCTCCCATTAAGACACACTCCATCCATCACCGATAATTAGCTCTGAATTTACCACTATTCCCCACTACACACTTACACACATCACCAACATTCCCTCAAGCGCAGGAGTGAACGTTCGTCAACTGCATTAGGGAACAGTAGTTGGCTAAAGGTAGATTAATAGTAGTAGTTCCTGAAGCAATGTTGAGTAAGGTTTTCCATCATGATATTAAATTTAGGCTGTGATTATTTAATCGTATGGTCGGGAGGTTGTAGGTACAGTATAGGGCGGATGTTACGAGAATTGCTCGAGCTTCATCTGTTTTTTCTTTAGGGACGATGAAGGAGATTATTTGAAGATTAAGCACCTTAGTTTATTTCACCTTAAGATGAACCACCCTAAAGCTAACCTAACCTAATCTAACCTAAACCTAACAACCCACTCCCCCAAGGTAGCATTAGGGTGTTGAATGAGCAGGTGAAATAATCTGTGTGGGGGGGAGGGGGGCACTTAATCATCATCTGATCCCAGGGGAACTGTAGCTGCATGCAGTACAATGAGATATATTCTGCTTTTGAGACGAGTAACCTGCTGAGTTGGGTCGGTTGTGGCAGCCTTAATCATTTTAGCAAAACTTACAAGATGCATAATGAATGACCAAATGAACAACAGATAACAAGGGGAATGGAATATGAGTTAGCATGGCTTTTAAACAGTGGGTTATTATTTGTTGTTGTTTTACGTTCCTTGTGTTTCTGTGTTTCGTCCTTCTCTATAATTTTTTGTTGTGGGAGGGGCCACGTATGGAGGCAAATTACGGAAATTTTAGCCGTCAAATAAAGGTTTAAGGAAACGTTTATGGCTCGATAACTCGTTGAAGATATTATTATTTGTGTTTTGTGTGTCATTATTATTTTGTTTTTCTTATTTTCTTTGTGTTTTACTGTACTGTATTAAAGGAGGAAGTTCTTTACAATGGAGAGTATGTGAATGAAGGTGTTTTTGGTCTACATAATGTTTTGACTTGCTCTGTCTCTCATTCTCTCCATCTGTCTCTCTCTCATTCTCTCCATCTGCCTCTCTCTCATTCTCTCCATCTGTCTCTCTCATTCTCTCCATCTGTCTCTCTCTCATTCTCTCCATCTGTCTCTCTCTCATTCTCTCCATCTGTCTCTCTCTCATTCTCTCCATCTGTCTCTCTCTCATTCTCTCCCATCTGTCTCTCTCTCATTCTCTCCATCTGCCTCTCTCTCATTCTCTCATCTGTCTCTCATTCTCACCATCTGTCTCTCTCTCATTCTCTCCATCTGTCTCTCTCTCATTCTCTCCATCTGTCTCTCTCTCATTCTCTCTCCATCTGTCTCTCTCTCATTCTCTCCATCTGTCTCTCTCTCATTCTCTCCATCTGTCTCTCTCTCATTCTCTCCATCTGTCTCTCTCTCATTCTCTCCATCTGTCTCTCTCTCATTCTCTCCATCTGTCTCTCTCTCATTCTCTCCATCTGTCTCATTCTCTCATCTGCCTCTCTCTCATTCTCTCCATCTGTCTCTCTCATTCTCTCCATCTGTCTCTCTCTCATTCTCTCCATCTGTCTCTCTCTCATTCTCTCCATCTGTCTCTCTCTCATTCTCTCCATCTGTCTCTCTCTCATTCTCTCCATCTGTCTCTCTCTCATTCTCTCCATCTGTCTCTCTCTCATTCTCTCCATCTGTCTCTCTCTCATTCTCTCCATCTGTCTCTCTCTCATTCTCTCCATCTGTCTCTCTCTCATTCTCTCCATCTGTCTCTCTCTCATTCTCTCCATCAGTCTCTCTCCCATTCTCTCCATCTGCCTCTCTCTCATTCTCTCCATCTGTCTCTCTCATTCTCTCCATCTGTCTCTCTCATTCTCTCCATCTGTCTCTCTCATTCTCTCCATCTGTCTGTCTCTCATTCTCTCCATCTGTCTGTCTCTCATTCTCTCCATCTGTCTGTCTCTCTCATTCTCTCCATCTGTCTGTCTCTCATTCTCTCCATCTGTCTGTCTCTCATTCTCTCCATCTGTCTCTGTCTCTCATTCTCTCCATCTGTCTCTCTCATTCTCTCCATCTGTCTCTCTCATTCTCTCCATCTGTCTCTCTCTCATTCTCTCCATCTGTCTCTCTCATTCTTCCCATCTGTCTGTCTCTCATTCTCTCCATGCCCTCTCTCTCATTCTCTCCATCTGTCTCTCTCATTCTCTCCATCTGTCTCTCTCTCATTCTCTCCATCTGTCTCTCTCTTATTCTCTCCATCTGTCTCTCTCTCTTCTCTCCATCTGCCTCTCTCTCATTCTCTCCATCTGTCTCTCTCATTCTCTCCATCTGTCTCTCTCATTCTCTCCATCTGTCTCCTCATTCTCTCCATCTGTCTCTCTCATTCTCCATCTGTCTCTCTCTCATTCTCTCCATCTGTCTCTCTCTCATTCTCCATCTGTCTCTCTCCTCTTTCTCTCCATCTGTCTCTCTCTCATTCTCTCCATCTGTCTTCTCTCATTCTCTCCATCTGTCTGCCTCATTCTCTCCATCTGTCTGTCTCTCATTCTCTCCATCTGTCTGTCTCTCATTCTCTCCATCTGTCTCTCTCATTCTCTCCATCTGTCTCTCTCATTCTCTCTCCATCTGTCTCTCTCATTCTCTCCATCTGTCTCTCTCATTCTTCCCATCTGTCTGTCTCTCATTCTCTCCATCTGCCTCTCTCTCATTCTCTCCATCTGTCTCCCTCTCATTCTCTCCATCTGTCTCTCTCTCATTCTCTCCATCTGTCTCTCTCATTCTCTCCATCTGTCTCTCTCTCATTCTCCATCTGTCTCTCTCTCATTCTCTCCATCTGTCTCTCTCCTTCTCCTCCATCTGTCTCTCTCTCATTCTCTCCATCTGTCTCTCTCTCATTCTCTCCATCTGTCTCTCTCTCATTCTCTCTCCATCTGTCTCTCTCATTCTCTCCATCTGTCTCTCTCTCTCTCTCCATCTGTCTCTTTCTCCACTTAACATCGAAAAAAAAAGTACTGTACTTTCAAAGAACCAGCCTACAGTTATGAAGTTATTTTGTTTGAATAGAAATTTATCTAGTTTCCATTCGAATTCCTTTTATTGTATGATTGGGCATTATTTTTAAACAGTATTTTTGAGGAAGAAATCTACATTAAAGTTTTGTAAATGGCGAAATTTATTACACCCAAAATTTTGAGCTTTATAGGTAACAAGATGAATGAAATGTGATGTATTTTGTACATTGTAATTTCTTATTTATGTTAAACTCATGTATAATATAGATATGGATTAATTAGGATTGATCACGTGAAGAGTTAGTGACCCCAGTTGATTAGAATACCTAACTAACTCCCAGGTAATGTTGGGCTGTTTATTCATCAGGTGGCTAGGGTGGGTAATCTTCCGTAATCTGTTAGAAAAAGTCTTATTTTTCTGTATTTAAGTTAAGTCACTGTGGTAAAGAAGGGGCCACATTATCCAGAAAACTGAAGAATTATTTGTTTTTAAAATTCTGTAACGAGTTCTCGGCACACGTAGGATGGGGTGCGGGAGGATAAATGGTGTGTGCGAGGGTGTGAAGGAAGTCAGAACAGAGACATGTATGGTGTTAACACAATTACAAACTAATGTTCTTAACTTGTTTGAATGGGGACTGTGCCTATTGTTGTGACTGTCTTAATATTATGTTGCATTGGGAAGAAGATTTAGAAGATGCAAGTTGGTACCTGACAGTATTTAATGTATCTAGACTTTGGTTTGATGCTAAGGTGCTCGCCTCTCTTAGCTTCTGCATGCAGCCAATCCTCCACCATCCTCAAACCCTGAGCTGAAGAATTTGCTGCACCCTGTAATGGAGCTGAATATATCCTTGCTTTTCATTGCCTTTAATTGAATGATGACAGCAGTGTGGCAGAGAACTTTGTGATTTATTCTATGCTTAATGGCTAGTTGCTGTTGTAAAGATGGCCCAACAAATTATATTCCCAGTAATTACAATCAAATTTATTTAAAGCCTTCAATAATTATATCCTGAAAATGCTGCTTAAGGTTCATAATCTTTCTTGCTATTTGTAGTAAACAGCAGCTCCTACCATGTCCAGGTAGAGACTTGTTATAAAATTGGAATTGAAAAAAATGTGGCAGCTCTAATTCTGATATTCATTTATATTGTGTGACTATAGACAGTGTTTACCTCTCAACAGTGTGTGTTAGGGCAGCACTCATATAGGTATACACAACACTATCCATCTCTTTGCATTTAGTGCAATTATAGGTAGTGAACAGAGTATATATATACAGTATATATGTATAGTCAAACAGTATCATTACTTTGAGATAAATCCATTGGCTTTAGAAAGGTTGTACAGTGCAGGGGTATTAAAACATACAAGTATCTGTGATGATTATGGCCTATTCAGGAATATTAAATGAATTCATGTCCTTGTGTACAACAGCTTGTTTATTAACACTATTTCTCACTGGGTTTCTCATTTTAGTTGTCGTGAAATTTGTGTGTACTTTGACTGTGTGCTAATTACCATTCAGAATAATAAACTACTTATTGTTTTTTATATTTTGATAATCACGTGTCTGAAACTATACAAAGTCGATAATGGTGTATTTGAACTTTTTAACTTATTTTGTGTAACTATTTTGGTGTGATAAGTTCCCCCAAACATAGTTAATCCCGTCTGTTCATTAACATTGTTGTATAAGTCATCACATGGGAACCTTTGTCATATCCTCATGTTATGGTGACTTGAGTAATTGTTTTCATTTATGGTGTTATGATTAAGCACTGTGATTGTTGATGGTGAGACTTGATGTACTATACAATATTTGTAATCAATAAAGAGATGCAGGACCTACATTTTGTATTTCCTCACACCAAAACAATCCTTCTGAACTTATTTGTAACAGCGTAAACACATTTCTTAGTGTATTTATCATTCTGAGGAGGTGCTATCATCATCATTGTTATGATTATCATCACCAACACCACCATCATCATCATCATCAGTATTACAAATATCCAACAGCAAAACAAGTTGGGTGTTGTGTAATTGATTGCTCTGTTTTCCTATTGGCTGTAATTTGATGACGTTACCTCTTATTCCACAATCACAGTTAAAAGAGATTACAGGAAAATACAATATGTATCGTACCACTATCCATTGTTTGGGGCGCCGCTCTCCCTAGGAGGACCTTTAGTGAGCCACAGGCCTTGACAGGGTCCATGGGAGCAGTGGCACCCCATAAAGAGGCCTGGGGAAGCCACTGCCTCTGGAAGGGCCCCTGAAGGCGCCATGCCACTGGCAGGGCCTCTGGGGCACCGATCCCTGAGCATATCTGGAGGCGCCATGCGCTGGCAGGGCCTCTGGAGGGCCTCTGGGAGCACCACGGTCCCTAAGAACGTACCGAGCGCCCCCGTCCCTGGAAAAACCCTGGGGTCACCGCTGTCCTGCGAGGTCCTCCGGTTCCGCGCCCCTAGCAGGTCCCATGGGGGCACTGGCCGTGTCTGTGAGGGTCCCTAGGAGCATTGCCGTCCCTGAGAGGCCCATGAAAACTCGGCTGTTTCTGGAGGCCTGAGAAAGTCCTAGGTTGCCGTTGACCCTAAGAGCGCCCTGGTGGATCCAATGCCCTGACAGGTCCCTGGGGGGCCACCTACAGACCCTGAGAGGGGGCCCTGGGGGGAACACTCTCGGCACCTGTCTTGGCCAAGTGACCTCACAGGGATAACGTCAATCGGTCCGCCACAGGGACGGAGGAGTGCTCAGGGGTGTTCCCAGGAGCAATACTACAACAGTGGCACCTTCAGAAAGCTCAGAGAGTGGTTTCTCCCCAGGGTACCTCTTTCAGGCACCTGCCCACAATTACCTGCCGGGGCTGCGGCGCCCCTATGGGCCCCTCTGGGGCCGGCAGCTGCTATGGAAACCCCTCCTGAGTGGCAGTGGGTGCCTTTCCAGGGGCGGCAGGGTCTCTGCCAGGGCGAGCGCCCCAGGGGCCCACTTCACATGCGGCATCGCCCCAAAACTTCTTGGATTTTTATCGTACATTTCATTCCATCAGTAATCCCTTACTTAACTTTAGCGATTGGTGGAATAAGAGACGTCATCAAAT